ATCGTAGCAAATCTGTCGCCACCTGAATCGCTAAGCAAATCCAGGTCTGGGTTCAACCCAAGAGCCTGCTCCAGCCATTTCGTCCATGCGTCGGTATCTGGATCTGCACATGCGCTCAGAACATTCATCAGCAGTTGCATCTTCCAGGTGTCAAGTTGATGGATCTTTGGCCAGGCCGGAATAGATACTCTCTCGGCCTCTTTCCTCGAGATTCTCGGTCGATCATTCTTGATCTCTCGGTTATCTCTCGATCTCCTTCGTCTCCTCCGTGTCCGATCGTCTTCTTCCTCTTCTTCTTCCTCGTCTTCCTCATCTCCTTCGTCGTCGTCATCCTCATCCTCATCATCGGGTGGATCATCCGGAGGTCCTCCTCCGCCACCAGCGAGGCTCAACTGACGTCGACCCGCTCCCTGCCCATTCCCATTGGGCGGGAATCCACCGTAATCCAATGGGGGCGTAGTACCGTTGTTTCCCCCCCCATCACCACCACCAGTCGTAGTAGTGGATTGTGGGACATGCCCAACAACCCCTTGCATCTGGGATAGGTGTACATCGATCATTGGATCACCGAAAGACGGAAAGAGGATCGAACCTGGCATCAGCGACGAATTAGGGATTTGATTTGAAGACGATGACGGGACTGACCCAGCCACCTTCTTGTCTATCCTATTTGAATTAGCCTGGGTTCCTCCCTCAGCGCGTTTCACTACTGCTCGTTCACGATGTCCATCTTTGCTGCTGGAGGCTTCCTGTGTCTCCAGCTTCTTGTGTGCACGTAGTTCCTCGTTGTCAGCATCGAGTTGGCGTACAAAACTCTCTTCTTGCTTGAGCGTCGCCTCTCTTTCTTTCAGTTGTCTCTGAAGCTCATGCATCTCCTCGAGGTACTCATCGTACATTCCCTTAGCTGTCAATCTCCAGTACTCAGCCTCCTTCGACTTCTCGTCCATCGTGCACCGTTCCTCTTGTTTCTCTTCTTTGACCTGGGCTAACTCCAAGATCGCATCCTGACGATGACCACCTTCGACAGCAATCATCTGGTCCTTCATCGACACGTCGGACTCATACTGTTTGACGATCTCTTCTTTTTCGCGAAGCAAGCAATCTGCTCTCTTCGATTCCTGTTCCGCAAATACTGTAACGTCATTCAGCCTCGCCATCAGCTGTTCCCTGGAGTCCTCCAAAGAGTACGTCTCGGGGCGCTTGACGAGTGCATGCTCCAACTGTGATTTCAGACTTTGGACCATCTCCTCCTCGTTGAACTTCTCGATAGATGTAGAAGATTCTATGCCTCTGATCTGTTGCTGATAAACTGATATCTGTTGTGAAGCCTCACGGTGTATCTGATTTGCACGTATAGCTGATTCCTGCGCGGCCGACTTCTCGCTTGCCATGTAGGATTTCATCAATGCAATCTCCCGCTTCTGCTCCATGATAGTTCCTTCAGCTTGCCTCATCTGTTGCATTATAATATTCGACTCCATGTCTTTCTTCTCCCCGTACTGAAATGCGTTCATTTCCACCTTGCGCATCTGTTGGGCTTCTTCCTCAAACTTGCGCCATGCCTCAGCCATGTGGTGTTGGTGGTGACTCACTAGATGTCCCGACTGCTTGCTGGCAATCTCGCATCGTCTTTCCAGCTCCTGGATCCGGATGGTGCTTCCATAGTCTTCTTGGTTAAGATTCGCCATTGCTGCCGACATTTCATCAAGTGTCTTCTGATATTCCCCGATCTCCACCTCCATCTTATTCTTCTCTTTGATCACGGCGCGAAAATCTGCACTGGTGGGTGATTTTGACCTCCCACCCTTCGATGTCGATCTCACGCCCTTCTGCGACGTCCGTGGTGTCGCAGGCGAAGATGATGATCTTCTCGGTGGGGATTCTCTTTTCTTCGACTCCTGATGAACATCGATCTGCTTCCATGATCTTGTGGGAGTAGATATGTCGCTGAATAGCGCGGAACCTCCGCTCCCAGGTTCATCCTGTGAATCTGCAACCATATCCATCACCGCAGGAAGAGCCATCAATCCATTGGATCCCTCTGAGCTGCTGTTCCCAAAAGTTGCAGTACTTGGGCTCGCCGAAGACGCCATTGTACTGTGTAGGTTATCGTTCCTTTATTGTCCCTGTACCCGCAATAAACCAGCTGTCTCCCAGTCCAGTGTAGAGCTTGTAGTTACGGCTGATAACCTGTCAAGAGACGGCAAGGTGACGTCCCGTGGGACGCTATGCACCGAACCCTCAAGCTGTAATACCAACCACGTAGAAAGGTGTATACGGACGATGCCGTTATAGCCGAACCCGTGTAAACGTTGTAAGGGAGAAGGAATGATAGTTACAACAGTAGTCCTGACAAATGCAGCGCAAGCGAAGTGTTTTCGCTCTCAATGCCGATCACGTATGTATGCAGTCACACATCAGATCTTGAACCTCAATTGTGTCTTGAGCCAAATGGCGATCAATGGAACTTGGGAAGCAACACCAACAAGGACCTCAGAACAGCTACCCAATTTCGGCACGGGGCCTAGAGGGTTTTAACAGAAAGAAAGAAAGAAAGAAAGAAAGAAAGAAAGAGAGAGAGAGAGAGAGAGAAAACAAGAAAGAAAGAAACAAAGAAAGAACGAGAGAGAGAGAGAGGGAGAGAAACAGAGAAACAGCGAGAGAGACAGAGAGAAAGAGAGAGAGAGAGAGCAAGAGAAAGAGAAAGAGAGAGAAAAAGAGAGATAAAGAGGAAGAGAAAAAGAAAGAGAAAGAGAAAAATAAAGATAAACAGAAAGAGAAGCATAAAGATAAAGTGAAAGAGAAGGCGAAAGAGAAAAAGAAAGATGAAGAGAAAGAGAAGGATAAAGATAAAGAGACAAAAAAGGAGAGAGAGAAGGAGAGAGAGAAAGAAAAAGAGACAGAGAAAAAGAAAGAGAGAGAGAGAGAAAGAAAAAAACAACAAGATATAAAGAGAAAGAGAAAGAGAGAGAGAGAGAGAGAGAGAGAAAGATAAATATATAACAGTTTGCATCTGTCAAGCGAGGGCGAAGGCGGCGAAGCGATTGTTAAGCGGCGCGCGAGCAGCTCAGCGCAGATTCCCTCGCGCCTGCCAGCGTTTTAGCACCTGGCAAGCCTTCGCCGATGCGCGCAGCTGCGCAGGGTGCGGCTTTTCGGTGGGTCACTGCGTGCATTTTTTGGGATTGCCCGAGGCTCAGCCAGAAGTTAGAAGGTGACAAGTGAAGCTCTCCACACCTTCAAGTGAGGCTGTAACCAAGCCCTAAAGGAGGGGGTGGCCCAAAACCAAACCCAAAACCCTAAACGAGGGCAAGTTAAACCCTAAACCTGAACCCTAAATGAGGGTTTGAGCGCAAGTTAAACCCAAAACTAAACCCTAAACGGGGGGGGGGGTGAGGGCAGGTTAAACCAAAAACTACCCCTAAACGGGGGGGTAGTTCTGGGCGAACCACACGTGCTGCGGGTGGTAGTAGTAGCAGTAGTAGTAGTAGAAGTAGTAGTAGTAGTAGCTAGTCGTAGTCGTCGTAGTAGCAGTAGAAGTAGTAGTAGTAGTAGTAGTAGTAGTAGTAGTAGTAGTAGTACTAGTACAAGTAGTAGTGGTAGTAGTAGTAGTAGTAGTCGTAGTCGTCGTAGTACTAAAAGTAGTAGCAGTTCCTGGCGTTGTGAAGGGGTATGATTCGGGTATGGTTCGGAGGTATGATTCGTGGTATGGTTCGGGGGTATGATTCGCACAGGTCGAACTTCCATCCTTTACTAAACCTTGCACACCTTAAAAAGGCACACACCCATATGTATATTATATATACACATTTAATAGCCACTAGGATTATTCCAGTTCTACCTTGAGAGCAGTGGTTTGGGGGACCATCTTAGAAAAAAGAGATAAGGCCGCTGCTGTGTGTGTACAAATATAATGTGTGAACGAAGGAAAACCGCCTTGAGAGGCCCCAACGTGGATTTGACAACTTGAGTATGAAGTTCGGTTGGTTTCGGTTGAATGTGAACACTTTCAGGTGGTCTCAAAACTCTTGGGCTTGAGGATTTCAGGCCAGTGACAAGGACTTGGGCCATGTTCAACTGATCCGTCCCCGAAGCGAAGCCCATAGCTTGGTTGCTGTTGACCCCCCTGCAAAAAGTTTAACTTTTTGGGGGTTTAGTGGAAAACACATTTCTTTCCCAACAAGTTAAAGTCTAAAGATCCAACCCAATAGCAGTCAAGGCCTTGGCCTGCGGCTCATTCAAATTTGCCCAAAGGACCCAAAAGGCGAACCTCTTCGGGCCATGGCCAATGGACCAAAAAAAGGGGAAAACGAAACGTCAAAAAGGTCGGCTTTGGGCAACTGAGAGTAACCAAAAATTGTGCGAACAGTGAGATAGCGAGTCGCCTCTCGTTCCTCTAAAATTGCCTACAGACCAGACATGTTGACAGAACTTTATGTGTATCTGGTGGTTTCCTTCACAACCTCAAACGGGGGACCGACTTTAAAGAAGGCACATTCTGCGCAAACTATCTCTTTTTGCCAACACCTACATTCTGAAATGCCCAAGAATGGGACAGGTACCCTTTGCAGCCCCAACAAAAATCAACACTGCCACTTTTAAGGGACCTGAAGATTGAAAGTCCCCTCTGACACAATAGTTTGGTTACACCCCCGCTTTTTGTAAGAGATTCCCACGGAAGTGGACACGAGTGGCTTGTGGAGACTACCATCCTCTTCTTCAAAAAGGCTCGCCGTCAGCTTCCCTCGCGGGCCTCATTCCGCTCTGTCTATCTACATCTGTCTTCTTTTCAGGTTCCTGTGTTGGTTACACACCAATCATGCGAGCCACGGTGGCCATTGTGTGCCCTGAGGGTGCGGCTTCATATTGAGCACCCAAAGTTCCTCCCCCATAGGCTGGGCCTTCAACATGATTTCAGAGCAAGTCTAGCTGGACTCACGTCCATGTGAGCCACGAATTGAAACCTGGGTCAACACACCCGGCGGCTCGTTGCTAGTCTCCCAGTCCTCGCGAAAGTCCTCAGTCATGGAGGTAGCCTGCAGGCAAACGACTCATGTCCCATCCTAGACCTGAAGATTTCCATGGGGAACAACAAACTGAACACAGAAGACCCTTGTGTGGAAGGTTGACTTTGAAGGGACATCCTCAAAGTACAAATTGGCACTTCAGGAGGTCCGGGATGGTGACAACCTCCAAATTGTCACGGTATGGCTCTTTGGAGGGTCCCAACTTCAGGGTAAGCCATTTCTTTTTTTGCTGGCCATCTTTAGTGGGGGAGCCCAAACAAAAAGGAAATCGAAGGCTGCCACACGCGGCGTTGCTTTGTTACACCCGCCTCCTGTCGCGCAGCTAGCAGTGCATTGCTGCGATGCAGGCGCGCGGTCTGGCGGGCATGCCTCGGGTGAGTCCAAATGACCAAAGAGGGGGTTTAGGGACCCCCAGGCCCAGACTTTCTCATGGCTGTCAACTGCCCAGTGGGGGAGCCTGGACCTCAAGATTGCAACTCAAGCTCTCAAACGGGTGGGTCAAAAATAAACCACCAGGGGACCACAGGTTTTAGTCCATGTGTCCATTTACAGGGTACCTATTTTTGACCCACAGCCAAATGATCAAACCTCGACGTTTGACACTCGAATTTTGGCACTGTCCCTGACACAGCATCCAAAACGGCCGGTCTCAGGCCTTTTTGGTGACTTGGAAATGCCTCCCCCAAAGCTGGCCGACTACATTGGTCCACGAAACGTGGTTGGGTACCTTTACGTCAAAACCCAGTGTGCCCTTCTTACGGCTCCAGCTTTTGGAAGGTCCGGACGGCCTGCGTCCCACATGAGAGGTGGAACCCCAGCCAAACCAGCCACAAGGTCTACAGGTTCCCAAACTTGAGATATTGAATATCTCCAACAACTTCCTAAAGTCGGCATGCTAATGAGAGAGTGGGGGTGGCCCCGCACGGTCATCCGGATAGGCATTCTGTAGTACAAGAAGCAAATGAAAAAGTACTAGTAAAAGAGAGCATGGACAAAAAATACGTAGCGCTAGTAATCATATTCAAAGGCGCGAGCGGGCAAGCAATCAAGAAGAAAGAAAGAAAGAAAGACACAAAGAAAGAAGAAAGAAAGAAAGAAAGAACAGAAAGAAAGAAAGACAGACAGACAGAAAGAAAGACAGACAGAAAGAAAGAAAGACGGAAAGAAAGAAAGAAAGACAGACAGACAGACAGAAAGAAAGAAAGACAGACAGACAGAAATAAAGAAAGACAGAAATAAAGAAAAGAAAGAAAGACAGAAAGACAGACAGACCGACAGAAATAATAAATAAAGAAAGAACAGAAACAAAGAAAGAAAGAAAGAAAGAAAGACAGACAGAAAGAAAGAAAGACAGACAGAAATCAAGAAAGAAAGAAAGACAGACAGAAAGAAAGAAAAAAAGACAGACAAACAGAAATACAGAAAGAAAGAAATAAAGAAAATAAAGAAAGACAGAAAGACAGACAGACAAAAAGAATAAATAAAGAAAGAAAGAAAGACAGAAGGACAGACAGACAGACAGAAATAAAGAAAGAACAGAAAGAAAGAAAGAAAGAAAGACAGACAGAAATAAAGACAGACAGAAAGAAAGACAGACAAAACTCAAGAAATACAGAAATACAGAAAAGAAAGAAAGACACAACGACAGACAGACAGACAGAAATAAAGAAAGAAATACATAAAGAAAGACAGACAGACAGAAATAAAGAAAGAAAGAAAGAAAGAAAGAAAGACAGACAGACAGAAAAAAAGAAAGACAGACAGACAGAAAGAAAGAAAGACAGACAGAAATACAGAAAGAAAGAAAGAAAGAAAGAAACAAAGAAAGAAAGAAAGAAAGAAATAAAGAAAGACAGACAGGCAGAAATAAAGAAAGACAGACGGAAATAAAGAAAGAAAGAAAGACAGAAAGAAAGAAAGAAAGAAATAAAGACAGACAAACATAAATACAGAAAGAAAGAAATAAAGAAAAGACAGAAAGACAGAAAGACAGACAGACAGAAAAAAGAACTAAAGAAAGAAAGACAGAAAGACAGAAAGACAGAAAGAAAGACAGACAGAAATAAAGAAATAAAGAAAGACAGACAGACAGAACTAAAGAAAGAAAGAAAGACAGAAAGACAGACAGACAGAAATAAAGAAAGAAAGAACGACAGACAGACAGAAATAAAGAAAGAAAGAAAGACAGAAAGACAGAAAGACAGACAGACAGAAAGAAGAAGTAAAGAAAGAAAGAAAGAAAGAAAGAAAGACAGAAAGACAGACAGACAGACAGAAATAAAGAAAGACAGAAAGAAAGAAAGAAAGAAAGAAAGACAGACAGACAGACAGAAAGAAACACAGACAGAAATAAAGAAAGAAAGAAAGACAGACAGACAGAACTAAAGAAAGAAAGAAAGACAGAAAGACAGACAGACAGAAATAAAGAAAGAAAGAACGACAGACAAACAGAAATAAAGAAAGAAAGAAAGACAGACAGACAGAAATCAATAAAGAAAGAAAGACAGAAAGACAGACAGACAGAAATAAAGAAAGACAGAAAGAAAGAAAGAAAGACAGACAAACAGAAATACAGAAAGAAAGAAATAAAGAAAAGAAAGAAAGACAGAAAGACAGACAGACAGAAAGAAGAAACAAAGAATGAAAGAAAGAAAGAAAGACAGAAAGACAGACAGACAGACAGACAGAAATAAAGAAAGACAGAAAGAAAGAAAGAACGACAGAAAGAAAGAAAGACAGACAGACAGAAAGAAAGAAAGACAGACAGACAGAAATCAAGAAAGAAAGAAAGAAAGACAGACAGACAGAAATAAAGAAAGAAAGAAAGACAGAAAGACAGACAGACAGAAATAAAGAAAGAAACAAAGACAGACAGAAAGAAATAAAGAAAGAAAGAAAGAAAGAAAGACAGACAAACATAAATACAGAAAGAAAGAAATAAAGAAAAGACAGAAAGACAGAAAGACAGACAGACAGAAAGAAGAAATAAAGAAAGAAAGAAAGAAAGACAGAAAGACAGACAGACAGACAGACAGAAATAAAGAAAGACAGACAGAAAGAAAGAAAGACAGACAGACAGAAATAAAGAAAGAAAGAAAGACAGACAGAAAGAAAGAAAGACAGAAAGACAGACAGACAGAAATAAAGAAAGAAAGAAAGACAGAAAGACAGACAGAAATAAAGAAAGAAAGAAAGAAAGAAAGAAAGACAGACAGAAAGAAAGAAAGAAAGAAAGAAAGAAAGAACATGCACAGACGCAAACAAACACACAACCACACCAACAAAACATGTTACACAAAAAAGCAACCAAGCAACACCAAATCCCCCTGGTCGATTTGAGGATTCCCGGCCAAGCCCAGGCTGCGCCGCGCGGCGCTGCAGGCAGTGCCTGGGACGTCACCGAATTGGTCCAAAGGCCCTCCACTAGAGAGGGCCTAGAAGATGTTGGTACCAACTTTTTCATTTTTTGTCAAGTTTTGTAGGGGAACTCTCCCAACCAAAAAAGGTGGTGAGAAAGGGCAATACTGGGGGACCTAGACAGGGTTCCTGAGAAGATATGTTCACGCCAGGTTGACGAAGGATGAGTCGGAATCTGAACATATGTTTGAGGTATTCTGGGCGTAACTTCCCCAGCTCCACACATCCTTGGAAGACAACCACCAAGCAACAACAAATGCAGGTTGTTTTGTGAAAGAAGGGTAGCTATGGTAGTTAAGAAGAATGCGGAAGAAACCCCAAGGGTACCCGGTGATGTTGGGGTGTTCAATTGACCAAGTTCCAAGGGTGTATCTTTTTGTGTGAGGGTCTACCTCCCATGCTGCCACGCAACCCGCCTCAAGGTGCTTGTAAGAGGGACAGGCATCTATGGGTGTCCCAAACACCTTCTCTCCAAACATCATTGTGCACAGGAGTCTTTAAATCTGCCGTATCCCAAGAAAGGCTCCCTGTCCACCAGGCTTGTCCGGAAGAGGGTCGATTGTAGTTGTTCATGGTGCTACATGTGTCCCCAAATCTGCTTGATGGTTGACATTCGGCTGTACAACATGTCTGCTCGAGTGCAAAGGGTTTCGAGCTACCAGCGTTAAAATTGCCAGTATCTATGTGACGTTATTCAAGGCCGGGAACCCTTGTTGGAGTATTCTACAAAGAAAACCAACGTGAAAACAAAGTCCCTCGTCAGAATCGTTTTTAATGGCAGGCACCAGCTGAGCCGTTCTCGTCTATTTGCAACAGGACAAGCACCCAGTCATCTCGCACACCAAACAATGCTCGAAGCTTTGCATGAGCGTTCCGTTCAGTTTGAACCCAGCGCCCCTGCTACCACACCTTCGCTATCGTCTGTCAAATCACAAGTGGGCGTGGCTCAAGACTGGAAGCCCGTACTCCGAAAACTCGAGAGCCGCTTTGCGCCAAAGTTGATCAGGCCATTGCATGTTTAGCCTTGAAAAGGCCGCCAAAAAGTGAACCAAACATGTTCACAATCCAACGGACATTTTGCAGATCACCAGAATGAACCGCAGGACCGTAGAGCTTTGAGCAGCTCCCTCTACCTGCAACACGAGCTCTCACTGCCCTTGCTGTAATGCGCTCGGACATTGTGTGCGTGGACCTTGTTAATGGACCCCTGATCTTCCAGACTTAGCACAACCCCCATGCATATGGCACGTAAAGATTCCTAGGTGGATGCGATTAGCATGCCGCGCATGCTACTTTCTATCCATATGCGAAACGTGATCGCATGAAGGCCTCTCTGCCAGGTTACGCTACCCAAGGTCCGCAGGATGTCCTCCACGTCATTGAGGATGCGCCACTTGTCCTCCTGGCAACATGCAAGAGTCACAGATTCAAGTTGGATGAACATGCCACTGTTGGAAGTCCAGAAGCGGCTAGGTGACGAGGGAGCCCTGTGTCACTATAGTGCTTGAAGCCTTTGTCTTACGTATGTTCGGAGTGCCTCAACAAATGCCTCTCGCACAGATCGAGCGTGCCTCACGTGCTCGAGGATTCATGAACTTGCGCCTGAGCGTCTGCGAGCTCTGGATGCCCGCAACTGGGGAATTGGTTGAGTCTTGCAAGTTGTGTCATTTTGATATGGCTGTGAGTCAAAAATGGGTACCGAAAATGAAAAAATGGGTTGCCCTGGTAAATGGAACCAAGGACTAAAACCTGCAGTCCCCTGGTGGTTAAATTTTTGACCCATACCCCCCAGTCTTCCTAAACTAGGAGCCGTTGTAGCTGGTTGGTGTCCTTCCTATTGGCCTTGAACACAATCAAGAAAGGATCCATACTTTGAAACAAACCCATGGCCCACATTAATGAATTGTACCACGACCTGTCATTTGGCCGCGTGTTGCATTGTACTTTTGACCAGCCAACATATTTGCCCCAGCATTCCAGCCCAATAACCCTTCAAACAAAAAAACATCACTGTTTGTGGGTCAACAACCATTTGTGACGGGGAACCCACCAAACGAAAAGTCGAAAAAACACGGAGCTTCCTCTCGGACGTCCAACGAATCCGCTCCGGGTCCCCCCACATGGCGTCTGTGAGTCGCCCAGCAGCTGCCGCCGCACCAGACGAGCTAAGGCCCGGCCTGAAAGACGCTCAGTGTCCGAAGCCTTTTTCATGGCCGTCCCTTTGTGGTGCTTGAAGCTGTCCCTTCAAAACCAACCCTTGAAAAGGTTGCCTGAGAAGAACAGACACCATTTTGAAGTGTTTCGTTGTGTTCCTTGAAGCCGTCCCTTGTAAACCAACCCTTGAAAAGGTTGCGCGAGAAGAACAAACACCATTTTGAAGTGTTCCGTTGTGGTCCTTGAAGCTGTCCCTTTAAAACCAACCCTTGAAAAGGTTGCCTGAGAAGAACAGACACCATTTTGACGTGTTCCGTTGTGTTCCTTGAAGCTGTCCCTTCAAAACCAACCCTTGAAAAGGTTGCCTGAGAAGAACCGACACCATTTTGAAGTGTTCCGTTGCTGAGAAGAACAAACACCATATTGAAGTGTTCCGTTGTGGTCCTTGAAGCTGTCCCTTTAAAACCAACCCTTGAAAAGGTTGCCTGAGAGGAACAGACACCATTTTGAAGTGTTCCGTTGTGTTTCTTGAAGGCTGTCCCTTGAAAACCAACCCTTGAAAAGGTTGCCTGAGAAGAACAGACACCATTTTGAAGTGTTCCATTGTGTTCCTTGAAGCTGTCCCTTCAAAACCAACCCTTGAAAAGGTTGCCTGACAAGAACCGACTCCATTTTGAAGTGTTCCGTTGTGTTCCTTGAAGCTAACCCTTGTAAACCAACCCTTGAAAAGGTTGCCTGAGAAGAACCGACACCATTTTGAAGTGTTTCGTTGTGTTCCTTGAAGCTGTCCCTTTAAAACCAACCCTTGAAAAAGGTGCCTGAGAAGAACAGACACCATTTTGAAGTGTTCCGTTGTGTTCCTTGCAATTGAAGCTGTCCCTTCAAAACAAACCCTGGAAAAGGTTGCCTGAGAAGAACAGACACCATTTTGAAGTGTTCCGTTGTGGTCCTTGAAGCTGTCCCTGTTAAAACCAACCCTTGAAAAGGGTGCCTGAGAAGAGCCGACACCATTTTGAAGTGTTCCGTTGTGTTCCTTGAAGCTGTCCCTTCAAAACCAACCCTTGAAAAGGTTGCCTGAGAAGAACAGACACCATTTTGAAGTGTTTCGTTGTGTTCCTTGAAGCCGTCCCTTGTAAACCAACCCTTGAAAAGGTTGCGCGAGAAGAACAAACACCATTTTGAAGTGTTCCGTTGTGGTCCTTGAAGCTGTCCCTTGTAAACCAACCCTTGAAAAGGTTGCCTGAGAAGAACATTGCGGTCCTTGAAGCTGTCCCTTCAAAACCAACCCTTGAAAAGGTTGCCTGACAAGAACCGACACCATTTTGAAGTGTTCCGTTGCGGTCCTTGAAGCTGTCCCTTTAAACCAACCCTTGAAAAGGGTGCCTGAGAAGAACCGACACCATTTTGAAGTGTTCCGTTGTGTTCCTTGAAGCTGTCCCTTGAAAACCAAGACTGGAAAAGGGTGCCTGAGAAGAACCGACACCATTTTGAAGTGTTCCGTTGTGTTCCTTGAAGCTGTCCCTTGTAAACCAACCCTTGAAAAGGTTGCCTGAGAAGAACAGACACCATTTTGGAGTGTTCCGTTGTGTTCCTTGAAGCTGTCCCTTGTAAACCAACCCTTGGAAAAGGTTGCCTGAGAAGAACAGACACCATTTTGGAGTGTTCCGTTGTGTTCCTTGAAGCTGTCCCTTGTAAACCAACCCTTGAAAAGGTTGCCTGAGAAGAACAGACACCATTTTGAAGTGTTCCGTTGTGGTCCTTGAAGCTGTCGCTTGTAAACCAACCCTTGAAAAGGTTGCCTGAGAAGAACCGACACCATTTTGAAGTGTTCCGTTGCGTTCCTTGAAGCTGTCCCTGTTAAACCAACCCTTGAAAAGGTTGCCTGAGAAGAACAAACACCATTTTGAAGTGTTCCGTTGTGTTCCTTGAAGCTGTCCCTTGTAAACCAACCCTTGAAAAGGTTGCCTGAGAAGAACAGACACCATTTTGAAGTGTTTCGTTGTGTTCCTTGAAGCCGTCCCTTGTAAACCAACCCTTGACAAGGTTGCGCGAGAAGAACAAACACCATTTTGAAGTGTTCCGTTGTGGTCCTTGAAGCTGTCCCTTTAAAACCAACCCTTGAAAAGGTTGCCTGAGAAGAACAGACACCATTCTGAAGTGTTCCGTTGTGTTTCTTGAAGCTGTCCCTTGAAAACCAACCCTTGAAAAGGTTGCCGGAGAAGAACAGACACCATTTTGGAGTGTTCCGTTGTGTTCCTTGAAGCTGTCCCTTCAAAACCAACCCTTGAAAAGGTTGCCTGAGAAGAACAAACACCATTTTGAAGTGCTCCGTTGTGGTTCTTGAAGCTGTCCCTTTAAAACCAACCCTTGAAAAGGTTGCCTGAGAAGAACAGACACCATTTTGAAGTGTTCCGTTGTGTTTCTTCAAGGCTGTCCCTTGAAAACCAACCCTTGAAAAGGTTGCCTGAGAAGAACAAACACCATTTTGGAGTGTTCCGTTGTGTTTCTTGAAGGCTGTCCCTTTTACCTTGACAAGGTTGCCTGAGAAGAACAGACACCATTTTGAAGTGTTCCGTTGTGTTCCTTGAAGCTGTCCCTTGTAAACCAACCCTTGAAAAGGTTGCCTGAGAAGAACAGACACCATTTTGGAGTGTTCCGTTGTGTTCCTTGAAGCTGTCCCTTGAAAACCAACCCTTGAAAGGGTTGCCTGAGAAGAACAGACACCATTTTGGAGTGTTCCGTTGTGTTCCTTGAAGCTGTCCCTTCAAAACCAACCCTTGGTAAACAAACCCTTGAAAACGTTGCCTGAGAAGAACAGACACCATTTTGGAGTGTTCCGTTGTGTTCCTTGAAACTGTCCCTTTAAACCCAAGCCTTGAGATGACAATCACATGGGTTTATCTCAACGCACCGTCGGACCCCAAAGGCCACAGTTTCCTGTTGGGGTCTCTTCGAAACCAAACACTTCCCTTGCAAACCCAGCCACGTCCCTCGTGCCCACCAACATGCGGCTTCCTTTGGCACGCAGCCAGGGCCACGGCTGCCAGGTGCCCTTGAGGATCTGTTGGATTGATTGCGCCGACTGCGCCTCGGTCTCAGAGGCCGAAGGGTTGTGTAGCGAAAGGTGGGGGATGTCTTAGGGTACCATTTCTGGATGTGTCTGTTTTGGCTTCCCTTGAACAACCAACGAGGAGCTCCCATATGGATGTCTTAGGGTACCACTTCTGGACGTCCGTTTTGGCTTCCCTTGAACCAACGAGGATGTCTGTTTTAGTTGGTACCCTTTTCAGGTTGGCTTCAAGGGTCCCCCCATTGTGACACAAAGCCATATACCATTTATGGGTATGCATCAAAACAGGGGTCCCAAAACGTTGTTTCAGTTTGATTTCCTTGTGCACTAAAAGGGTGCCCTCAACAACAAACACCACCCACACACACACACACACGCAATGGCTTGCTTTCACAGCCAAAATCATAAAATGCCTTCCACAATGCACACTCCGAGATTAAAGTACCTGGGAGATCAATGTTTGTCTATCATCCAGGAGGGTATTTCTCCTGGGATGCCAGTGCTGGCCGCAAACCAACCCGCATTGATTTGGGCAGTACAGCCCAATACATTCTGCTGTGGTAGCCGGGAACCGCCTTAGGCCCCGAGAATCGCAGTACCCCCAAGCTTAGGTGAACCGCACAAGCCCGATTACCCTGAAATCGCCCAAAATGGTCCCAAACCAGCAGATGTGGTGCCGCTCAAGGTCCAGATTACCCTGAAACAGCCCATGGTCTCAAAAATCAGAGGTCCCGCTGAATAAGCAGATGAAGCTCGCCTGCCTGTCAGGCGCAGCTAGAAGAATCGGGGGCCAAGGTGCGGAGGCTAGGATTCTTGTGCTCTGCCATTTGGGGCAAGAAAAACTGCAAGGGAATGTGTGCACCATATGCATGTATAGTAATAATATTCATATACATATACGTGTATATATACACATATACAGTATATACATGTATCATATATATATATATATGTATATATATATATATATATAGATATATATGTGAGCTACGGTCAAACACACTCGTCTTCGTCAAGGAGGCTTTTATGCAGTTATCGTTTTTGGCGGGAGCCCTATCGTCTTGCGAGGCTTTCCCGCTTTACTAAAGTGATCTACGCATAATTTTGATAACAATGGGTTGGGGCTCCGGGGAGAAGACATAGAACGCGGAACATCTATACAAAAACATCTCCCATTCTTAAATATACTCTGCCCCCTCCCGATAAAATTGGCTGCCTGTGACCAGGGAATGGGGGCCATGCTCAGGGTGCACCAAGACATCTGATATTTTCATCCGGGAGGGTTTGCCGAAATTCAGCTTAGTGGCAATGCATTCTCCAACCAGCCCGGTGTACAATGGACAGACATATTATATAAGCGTGTGTATGTATATATAATATACATACATGTATATATATATATGCATACCTGACTATGGAGAGCTACTTAAAACTGCTCGATGGCGCTTGCCATGAGTATATAAAAGGGGTATGTACAAGGACCCCTAGAGCCTCGCATGACTGTCGCCTGCAAAGAACTGGCACAACATGTCAGGATCCAGGTTGGCCAAAGCTTGGCGAAAACATCCAGTAGGCTCTGATCCATCTTGGAGCAACGGAGAGAGAAGGTGGTCGGTGTGTCCATTGGGATAACAGCAAACTTTGACCGTTTATCTGCTTGACTGAGCACCGAGCATCATCCTTACTCTGGGCATCAGTACCTTAAATTCGGATGCCAACAGCCGAGTCGAGACTCTTGGTGCCTCTGCATCATGCTGGCTACGGGCAAAAGAAGAGCAGAGTTTCCAAGACGGGACAGCCAAAAATACCTTAAGGGGACATTCATGGCCTCGAGCTCCCAAAATGTCACAACCCAGTGACTGGTGCTTCGAACATATGATGGTTGTGAGGGTTCCTCAACGCCTTACTAGAACCTCCCTGGTGCTATTTGTGGTACTGGAAGACAACTTGGTTTAATTGACGGCAACATGTCCCGGAAGAATCGGTGAGTCACCTACTCTGCCTGCCTAACCTTCTGAAAAGCTTGGGGTGCCCGCGGCTCATTTGTCCTCTCAGTGCACTCTGCAGGGTGGACGCGGGGGTTGTCCAGTTGTCCAGTGAGTCTGTAGTTTTAAAGTGGTGTTGGAAAGCCCGTAGGGTCATGCAACTGTTCATGCTTGCTTGATTCTTCCAAGGGAAACGGACATAAACTGGGCTGTCCTCAGATCCCCTGCTAAAACTTCCACTTTTCGGGGTTAAATGGAAACCCCCACTAAACCCTAAAAAGCGAAAAAGCCACGGGGATGGCTTTCAGACACTCTCTTTCCGTGCGTGACGTCCGCAAGCCAGCACTGAGTGCCCGGCTTGGTCTGGGGCTGTTGTTGCTCATGGACGTGTCGGGTGGTGTGCCGGTGTCTACCTGGACAGGACATATGAGCAGGTCAGAACAACGCGACGGCAGCGAGCGCCACATTTCCACTTGGCGTCCAGAAGCGGACATCCCACCATGGTGGGTTTCCTTTGGGTTAACCAACCAACAAAAAACCATGTGTCTGTTAATATCCGCGATCAGCAATCCTAGGCTTCAAACCCATATTATGTAAGTTATTGATTCTAACGAACACCAAAAAGAAAACCGCCAGTTTTGGGGTCCACTTGTGTGTGTGTGTGCGTGCGTGCGTGCGTGGGTGTGTGTGTGTGTGGGTGGGTGTGAGAGTGAGTGTGAGTGTGGGTGCAGGTGCGCGTGGGTGTGGGTGTGCGTGCGCGTGTGGCTGTGGGTGTGTTTGTGTGTGTGTGTGTGCGAGTTGTCTACAAAGGCTCGGCACCCTTTTCAGGTTGGAAAACCAACAGCAAAGCCACGTTTTTTCACATCCTTTCTTTGACATGTGCCAAAAAAGGGAGAACGCACGCATTGAACAAGCACTGGAGGAGCGTTTTGGGCAAACACCGGAAAACCACCAGTTTGGGCGTCCACCGAAAAGGACACGCCCATATTGACGCCCTATTGTTCTTCTCATGGCCAAGGGGAATCCATCGATCAGTGCGCTAAGCATGGGGCCTCCCAGGCTTGCAGGAGTTCAGGTAAATCCTCAGGTTGAACCTGGCGGTGCGGCGGTTCGGGTGAGCAAAGCCGTTGGCAACGGGGAAAGACACTCTTCACCGCTGAGACTTGTTATACAAATGGGCGCTCGTTTGGGGTTTCAGGTATAATGTATATATATATATATTAATATGTATACGTGTACATATACATATACATATACATATACACCATATATGTATATATATACACATATATATACATACACACATATGTATATGTATAATTGAATGATCATTGGTGACCCTTTGGATATCATTTGGACAAAGGGGTTGAGAATGGTAGTCCTTCCAACATCCTCACGACTTTTGGAAAGACTCCAGGCCTTGGACATGGGGATCTCCTTGACAACCTTCCTCCTGCAACGACACCTGCGGGCCCAAGAGCTGCAGGGAAGGTAGGCCCTATTATCTCGAATCAAAAACGAGTTATTTTTTCGAGGGTATCTTTTTGGGGTGGTGTTCAAGGCAAACCAAAGCACCATCCCTGTTTTGAAGGCTACCTCATCTGAAGTTAAATACAGCCAGACACCTCGCACTTCCAAACGTCGCCTTGCCTGACGCAATTTGAGAGGCAGCCATCTTCATCAAGTCTGCCTGCACCGGCCATGCCTGGCAGGAGCTCGGACTGATACATAACGCGTATTTCTGCCCAGTGTTGAAGGTGTCACCTCTCCAAACTACCAGTAGCAACGACCGACTAGCGTGTTAGCATGTATTTGCCCCATAGTTGGGTCCCGAACCCTACCGCTTGCAGCACTTCCAACCGCACAAGCAAGCCTCAGGTTTGCTGGATCGAATCCCAGTCACGTCTGCTAGAACCAACAAAAGCCCAAACTCAAGGTCTGAACTGCAGTGGGACAAGACAGCAAATTAAATGGAGCATCGTTCCAGCATCCTTAGAAGCGGGAGGGTGCAGATGGAATGCTCGGCTGAGTGCAAACTTTCGGGCGCTGGATTTCCCCTTACAGGCGCGAAAGAGGGGACAAGCCATAGAAGGACTGTGCCGTTTCCCCTCTGCAGCTTCCGAAAAAGGTTGCTTTCTCGTGTCACCTTACCAACTTTGGTTTGGCGGTTTGCACCTGTACTTTCCCTTGGAAGGCTTCAAATCCAACCGATCCACCAATGGAGTACTTGGTGCTGGTGCGGGTTAATTAAAAAAATGAAATGAAAAAATATTCAGGTGATATCCCCAACAGCATGCGGTGTTTTGTTTTAGTGGAACCCTGGTGGAACCCTGGTGGAAGGAACCCTGGTGGGAACGTGGTGGGATTTTGGTGGAACCATGGTGGAACCATGGTGGAACCATGGTGGAACCTTGGTGGAACCCTGGTGGAACCCTCGTGGAAGCTTACCTCAAGGCCGCCCCGGATCTTGGGGGAAAAAACAAGGTTCCCAGAAACCCCGGGCCTGGCTCCGAGCCGCGCCGGTCGCTGAAGTCGCTGACACTCGTCTTGCGGCGCCTGGCTCAAGCCGAGCTCACAACCAAGAAACCCAGCTTAAAAGACTCACCAAGCACCCACAAATTACACCAACTCCGTGTGTTTGTATATCATACATATATATATATATACATATATATATATATATATATGTATTCATATTTATATATATATATATATCTCACATACGCTGGAAAGTAGCCAAGCACCAAATGTCGTCGTGGCTCACTTTTCTTTGGTTTCTGAATGATCTAAGGACTTCGCACGGGCTGGCGATAGATGCAGCCAACTGGCGGGCGAGTAGCTGCACGCTCAGCTTGAAACAAAAGACATCCGCACATTCCGTCCATGCTTCGAAACACAGGTCGCCTTGCCTGACGCAATCTGCGGGGCCATCTTCATCAGGTCTACCTGCAAGAACTCCAAGAAAGCGCAACCATCATCTAAAACCGCAACCATCATCTAAAATTACAATGATCGTCATATTCTGATGGCATTGGTGAATCAGGAGAGCCTTCCACATTTGGGTGTTGAAGGTGTCAAATGAAACCTCTCCAGGCAAGCAACGACGGACTATCATGTTAGAATGTACTTGCCCAGTCGTGCACTCCACTCCTTGCTCTGAATTCGCCTGGCGTCAAATCTCAGGGACTCAAGGGTTGAGATGCGAAGAAATCCGAGTCACAGCAGTCGGGGCCCTCAAAAATGGTAAGGTAGACGATGCTGGCATCCTTCAGTGAAAAAAACGTGGACACAAGCGACACAAGAGCATTTCCTGCTACCCAAAACCACCAAAATGGTATACAACCACTACAATGTAACCGCCTTCTCGGGGTACGTGGCAGATACATGGTAGCGGTTTGCAGGGGCCAACCCTCTGAGACTGGAAGGCTTGGCTCATCTGCTGTACTTGTGTTGTTTTGTTGGAGTTTCGATTCAAAGAGGCTTGCTGATTTTGGCTGAAAAGTCATCACATCTTGGGCAGACATGGCCCATCTCCTTCTACATGAGTCTACATGTCGCTTCCTGAAGTGTTGGGGCCTCGTGCCCGAAGTTGAACCAGTCTGGGTGCAAAGCAAGCGCCAATGGAACGGCGCCTCTGGACTCCGGGCCGTCAGTGCCGTGCCGGTCGCCCCTGCGCTTTCGGCACCTGGCGAGCCAAAGGCGCTCAGATCCCAAAGTTCTTCGGAAGTCCCGGGCTCCAGGATGTGGAGTGAGCTTCTCGAGTTTGTCGCAAGGAGTCCCTTTAAACAGGAAAAGGCACGAAACGAGGGAACCAACGGCTGGGGCTGGCGATACATTGACATTGGCCCGTGCGTGCATCTCAAATCAAAAGCCATGACCAACCTGAATCTGACAATCACAACGACAGTCGAACAGTCCACGCTTCGAAACACAGGTCGCGTTGCCTGACGAAGTCTGCAAGGCAGCTGCCATCTTCATCAGGTTTACCTGCACCGGCAATGGCTACTAAGCAAATCCAGCATCAATAGTTGTGACGATGCTCTGCTGGGTGATACCTGGTGAAACAAACGCCAAATTGAACATGCGAGCCTCCAGGCAGGTTGTCGACGTGCCAAATTTCACTTTGCCATCCAGCAACGATAGACTTCTCCCTTGCAAATGACCATGGAACACAAGCAACCATCAGAATCCCACTGATTGGAAAGGACTCACTTACCCTCTGACCCACTCTTTTCAGAGAGGAATCCTTTTGGCCGGACCCTCCTTTGCCCCTCCTTAGGACTCCATGTTTCGTTTGCAGGGGAGTCTCACAGCGTTGTGCCATTGGCTGCCTGAGCCCAGGTCGCTGACACTGGCACTGCGTTTGCGCCGCCTCGAGACCACGAGACAGCAAGGGTCAGGTTCCAAGCACCAAACACCCATCAAACACCCGCCAAACACCCGCCAGCAACACAAAGTATATACTGGAAAATAGCCAAACACCCGGCAAACTCCCCCTTTTGGCCGTAACTTCTTGGCTTCTGAATTGGGGCTGTTGCTTCGGGCTTCAAAAGTTCTGGGCTCCGGAAGCTTTAAAAATGGGCTCCGCGATAAATAGCCGGATTCCCAGCCCCATGACATTGTCACTTCAAACTGGGGTCATTATTCTGAGTGTTTCTAAAGTTAGCAACTGGGGTGGTTTCCTTGTAACCCACTTAGGGGGCTGTGATAGTGGCAAAATAATGGGGCCAGTCAAACGGAAGATCCTTTAGCATCGAATGTAAGTGCCCAAGGTTTGCGAGCCGGCAGGATTTCCACATGGCCAGGGTCAGGAAACCGATGCGCGCCGTGTCGTCTAAAGTCGGACATCTCTGAACATCGCTTGGACCTGCGGAGCCTGGAAATGAACAAGTTTCCGATCTTGGAAAGATGCTTTGGCTTTGCAGGTTTGCGTCACCTCAAGGGCCAGGTTGAGGTCCGCATGACAAAAGTTGGTTTTCTTCTGGCAAAACAAACTTGGGGTCGCCATCGTCCCAAAATCAACCAAGGGCCTGGGTTTCCACCATATGGAAACGTGCGGGTGTGCACCCCCCACATAAGCGCCATCTAGCGGTTGCATACCCCGATTTTCTCTTGGGGGTTGTGCCAAGCCAGCCGTTCTTGCGGGAATACTTAACTGGCAAAGAACAAGCTGAACTCCTACTAACTAGAGAGGGTGGGTGGCTCGGTGGTTCGGGGGCGAAAACCATCGAAGGGATTGGCTCAGCCCTGCCTGGCGACACACCAAAGGTATGGCAAAACGATGGCCACGAGTAAAGCCAAGCCTGGCAATTTGGAACATGGCGCAGGACCTCCAGTGGATTTCCAAAGAGAAAAGGGCATCCTGCACCCTGTATGTTGGTGGTGGATAGTTGATAAAGGGATACGGGATACCTTAAAGGGAAAAATAGAGATGGGCACACGATTGTGTTGTTTGAATCAAAAAAAGAGGATACAGTCAAATCCTGCTGGAGGTCTGGGCATCGCGGAAAGCTCAGCTAAAAAGCCCTGCAAGTGCCTTTGAGAGACGCAAGGCCTGTTGCACCCCGCAAGGGTCTTTGACATTGGAAATCCCTTTATGCTTGTATGACCGTGGGTCAAAATCCAACTCGTACCCCCAGTGAACATCCCAATCCCCGCTAAAATAGACTAAAATGGGTGGTGCACCTACCCCAAAATGGTACCATTGGTTTTTACCCACAGCCATATGTTGGATTTTGGGGGTTGAACCCTTGCCCGCAGCTAGTGAGTGTGGTAGATGGAAAAATGGACAATCAATACTGATGGGTCTTTCCAAACAGGGGGACTGTGAGGGGGGAGGGTGAAGGGTCCATGAATTTCCAGCTTGGCGCGAGGCAGCGTCATCGACATGGTGAGGGAACCCCCCTGTGACCACCCCCACTTGGAACCATAGCCAAGATAAACATCATTTGTTTGCTCAGGTTCTCGGCTGAGATTAGGGACCCCAAAGTATATTTTAAGATTATAGCCACGGTCACAATTAAAGGAACCAACCCCGCAGTGACCCCACCTAACCAAAGTTATATTCCACGCGCCCGAGACGCCTGCGGCGAGGGCTGCGTAGGTCCAAAGCATGGGGTGCACACAGGAAGCGCAGTCCGCGCCAACGACGTCGTTGGGGCGACACAGCTCCTGCGGAATAAAGCTTAGGGGTGAGAACACACTTCCGGGGTCTCCCAAAATGGAAGCTGCCAAAGGGGGTCACTTGGAACCTGAGGGCCGCTTTGTGGGGCGATTTGAAGGCCACCAGGCCCCAAACGTGACCACTTGCATTGGAGAGAGCGGGACAAAAACTCACCGCCAAACAACTCTGAAGATTGGGATGGGCCTACTGGTTGGGCAATTTGGGTGGGCTTCCGTGGACAACAACTCAGAGTAGTGTGCCCAAAAAAAGGCGAATGTCGCACCTATTTGTTGAGATAGAAGTCCCCTATCCTTCTACCAAGACTTTGATTCTAGGTCACCTGTGTTGCTTTTGCAGGACGCAAACAGGTTGAGCCCCCCAAAGGCAAAAGGGCAAAAATTGTTGATTCACTTACCCTGGCACAGCTCATGAACGCCTTGAGGCGTGTATTCGTGAGCGGTGAAAATTAGGTTGGGGCCACGCCGTGCCTGATTTCATCAGCAAAAGATTTCGAAGATGAGCCATGCGTAAGCAAAGCTCCACCTAATGACTCCGACAACGAATGCTCCTGGAAGGTCCATGCGTAAGCTCCGCATTCGCGGCGCAAGCGGAGCGGTGCCAACAAGGTGTCGTTGACGTCCTGAGGCCGAGCCGCCGGTTTACAGAGCCAAGGGTCGATGTGGACCCTTGGCCGGTGCAATTGCCTTTATTCCTAACCTCACACAGAATGCTCACTGAAAGCAGGCAACCTCAAAGTGATGCTAAAACCCATCCTTCCAAACAAATAGGCAGCTTTGCAATTTGGCTGTGGCTCAAATGAATGTACCAAAATGGCATCTTGGTTGATGGAACTAAAGGCTAAAACCTACGTAACCCTTGCTCTCTAATTTTGAGCCACACCCATTTGGGAGCATTTAAAACACGCAGAACTTTGTCTGTCCCTCGACTCGCTTCCGCCCGACTCGCGCAAGCGACTCCCGACTTAGAGCTTCCGAGCCTGGCCATAGAGCTCTGAGTGTACCTGGGTGGTGGACACACACCAGCTTTGCACCATCGATCTGCACCAACCTTGCATCATCTCTCCTGGTGCACCCCGGAATTGTTTGTTGTTGTTTTTTTTTAAACCTGGATTGAAGACAAAAGTGGGTTCTCCTTTAGCAGTAAAGCATCTCTTCTCTGATGGGGCACCCTATGAATAGAAAACTTTCAGCAGTATTCCTCGTTTGTGGGAATTTCCAGGATCGAATTAGGGTGGCTTTGGGGTGGATTTAGGTGGGTTTAGGGTGTTTTAAACGTTGGCTTCGGGTGGGTGGGTTGAGGGTGGGTGTAGGGCTACGTTGAAGTTGGTTTGGGGCTTGTTCAGGCGGACTTTGGAGTTGCTTTCAATATTTTGGAAGTTGGCTTGGGGGAGGGGTGCAAGGAGGCTCGGAGGCTCTAGGGTTTCGGGGGCCAATTCTTAGGCACTTTGGTTGCTCTCATGACGGCGTATTGCGGGAGGGTAGCCCAGGAAAAGCTGCAGAAGGCTATAGTCGTGGCTTGGGTAAACCCAAATCGGGGTACCTGCCAAAAGCATCCTTTGATTTTGGCCAATGTAATCTTGCGCGTGCTCAGCAGGGAATGAGTAAATGAACATGGAGATTCCCTTAAAGGAAACCATAGGGGATGGATTGTAGGGGTCAGTCCGTCATTCCCTTTCTGAGCACCAGCAAGTAATGGTCTATTCTGTCTATACCTTCTTTGCACCTGTCCTGGTGGATCCACTGCTAGGCAGGGATTTGTGACTGTCGTGGTGGTGGAAGTGCTGGTGAAGGTGACCGTAGAGGTCTTGGTTGTGGTGGTTGTCTGCGTGGAAGTCGTGGTGGCAGGAACCTCAGTCAAAACTGGTTGTGCGAACTTCGGGTTCATCCACTTCTAGTCAGAAAATCAACTCTGTTTGGGGGGGGCCTCTGGTCAGGGCAGTTTATGGACACAAGTGTTTCCTACCTGGCAATTTCCTGTGGTTTGTCTCATTTGTCCGAAAAGGAAATCAACTAGAAACGCTAGCCGCCACCGCCTCTCTCAAATGAATCCTGATCAACAACCTAGGCAAAACTTGCGGCGAAGACTGTCTTGGGCGGTTTTGATACCTCTTCATGATCGGGATGGAAGTCCTTCCTGACCTTCACTTGCCCAAATGGAGGATTTCCGAACCAAGGAGCCCTCGTGACGGGCTACAGGAAACCAGTGGAGCAGTGTGCAAGACAGAGTGACTTCTTGGTTCATGCAGCCCGTGCTACGCTGCTACACGCCCCACACGCCGCTGGCAGCCTGGGAGACTTGGCATAAAACGGAGACCTAATGGCCAAAAGGAAGTGCCGCCTAGGAGAATAGGAGCTGAAACCACCTAACGAAAGTCTTGCCTACCGCATTTAAATTTGACGCCCCATTATGGGGGGGGGGATGGGAGGGGGGGAGGGATGTTTCTGATTGTGTTTGCGTCGCTTCGCAGAAATCCATTCATGGACAACTCTGCAACTGCCTGGGTCTCGACATACGCAGCTGTGCATGCATCTCAGCAAAGCAGTACGTCCCCCCTTGACTGACTTGACTGACACGCTTCGTTACTTTGCCAGACACTGACCTTCAACGTGGCGTTCTATAGCTGACACTCCATCTGGACGGATCCAAGGAATCACCAGCCCACCTTCTGAGCTATTCTGAGCTTCTTAGGAGCCCTGGTTTGGACCGTGGGAGTGGAGGCTCACTTTTGTCACTAAACATGATCTGCCACCGCAGAGCCCCCCTCTACATCATGCCAGCAACGCGCGTTCAACTGCAACATAAAGAAGTGAGCCCGCAGGACGTGCAAGCCAAGGGCTCAATGTGCAGTTCGAAAAATGAGTTTGCGGTGACCACAAGTCTGTGACACCCGATGACAACAGGTTGAAATTCTTGGGCGCTCAAATACGGCAGGCTTGTGTGCTAAAATTGCCAAAGGGCCAAAAGGAATTCATTTCACTACTCGAAATATGTTTATTCTTTCATTTGCTCAGGACGATTTTGCCCGTTTCCCTTGGCTTCAAACGAACTCGGCTCTGGGCGTTGCAACCGGCTGACCAGACTGCGCTGAGTGCCGGGCGGTGCTTGTGACCGGCGCTGGCGGCGGCGGCAGCGTGCCGGGAGGAGTTGCCTCCCCGTCAGGAGGCAGCTCCTGACACCCAGCGGTGTCTGGGCTATGGGTGTTGTCTAGGTGATTGATTCCCTTTTCAACCAACAGGGGAAAAATCAGTTTAAGCAAATGGAGGAAAATAAATAACCACTTTAACTAAGCCCTCCAGTAGAGAAGTTAGGGTTTAGGGTACAATGTCTCACTTGAGTGGCCAAAGGTCGAAGCTGTTTGCTGACCTCTCCAATGGTCCCAAGCAAGTCTCAACGTCCAGAAAACTGGGAAGCGAGATATTGCAATATGTGAGCTGCTTTTTGGATGAGAGTGTGTGTCTGCCTGTGTGTGTGTGTGTGTTAGTGTGTCGGTGTCTGTGTCTGGGTGTCTGTGTGTCTGCGTGTCTACGTGCCTTCGTGTCTGCGTGTCTGCGTGTCTGTGAGTGTGTGTGTGTCGGTGTGTCTGTGCGTCTGCGTGTCTGCATGTCTGCGGGTCTGCGAGTCTGCACGTCTGTGTGTCTGTGTGTGTGTGTGTCTGTGTGTCTCTGTGTGTCTGTGTGTGTGTGTCGGTGTCTGCGTGTCTGCGTGTTTGTGTGTTTGTGTGTCTGTGCGTCTGTGCGTCTGTGTGTCTGTGTGTCTGTGTGTCTGTCTGTCTGGCTGTCTGGCAGTCTGTCTGTCTTCGCCTTCTGTATTGGGGCTCCGTTCAATCGCACCAGCAAATAACTCATGTCAAACAATTTCCATGTGAGCGTTCAATGCCACTTTGACATAGAGACATTCAGCATGCCAGCCAAAACCACACTCCCATGTCGTCCCCAATCTAACAATCGTCTGCCAATGATGTGTCAGCTGCTGTTGAGAGAAATGTGGTCTCCTCCAGAGTCTTATCTTCCTTGGTGGGTTTGACATGCATGGATATCACCTGGCTCATTGAAGTTTAGCAGGGGACAGTCCCCTTGCCGCAGATCCCTATAAAATCGGTGTACTCTCTTTTGGGCTGCTTCCATGGCAAACCCAACAAAAAATAGTTGGGCCAATTTTGTTGACTTCTCAAAGTAAACATCACAATATTTGTGTAACCAACATCACAGCGATCCTTGGTCCAAATATCAACGGTGATCTGACATTATCCTTGATCCAAACTTCAAGCTAAACATCCCAAGATGTGTAAGGTTTCCCTGGTTTCAAACTAACATGTTCTGGTTTCCGATGGTTTCCCTCCTCCGCCGGGCACCCTCCAAAATCGACCGCTCCTGGGCCACGAAGTCCTCCGGCAAGCGCCCATCCTCCTTCGCCTTCTGCACCTCTGAGCGCACGAACCAGGCAGCCTGGGCGACCGCTGACCGCGACCGCTCCGAGCCGATGCTTGGTACGTCCACCGTGAGAAAAGTAGAGCAGAGGTCCCCTGGTTGATAGATAAGGGCGCGCGCGCATGTCTGTGTGTCTGTGTGTCTGCGTGTCTGTGTGTCTGTGTGTCTGAGTCAACGTGTATCTGTAGTTTGTGTCTGTATCTGTGTCTGTGTCTCTGTGGGTGTGCCTTTTGCTGAGGGCACCCCTTGTTTTTGGTGGTTGAAAGGGAAACAACATTTGGGGGGTTCCCTAAAAATATCACATCCGCGTGTGGGCGTGCGGAAGGCTCGGCACCCTTTTCATGTTGAGAAACCAAAAGCAACGCCACATTTGTCAACTTCCCCCCCTCTTTGACACATGCCCACACGCCTCAAATAGAACAGGGGGGAGCATTTTGGCAAACCACGAAACCTACTCCCCCCTGCCCCAGAGCGGCATTCGCAGGCTTGCCGAGAGAGAGCGCTTTGAGAACGCTGCCCGGTTCGGGCGGCTGTTTGGCCGGACCCTTAGCGCTCGGTGGGAGCTTGGCAAGTGCTTCGCGAGCGCTTAGCGAGTCGCGTGATTGTTGTATCGAAGCCCTGTGTCTTTTCAGTTCCCGCGTCGACGGGCTTTGACAGGTTCGGGGCTCGCGAATCGACGGCCGGCTCCCGAATAGACAAGTTCGGGGCGCACGCTCCGACTCGCCAGATTCGGGCGGTGACGGGCCTTTGCTCGCGGGGTCCCGAATTGCTGGTGGCGAGCCTTTGTTCGTGTAGCCCGACCGAGTGTGAGAGTCGAGCTGCCAAGGGCCGTTTGGCCGTCAAGTGGAGGCCGAGGGGTTGGAAGAGCTTTCATGATCCCCGAAGGGATGGAAATCTATTAGTCGCGTGTGCGCGCAGGGGTGCCTCAGTGAGAGTAAGTGCCCAAAGCCGTGGCGAGGAAAGCCCCGAACGAGGGCGGCTATCAGTATTAAACGGCTCCACGCTTGGGAGATCAATCTTACACTCTTTGTCATAATCAACGCCTAGCATGAACAGAGTTTGCCCAAAGCAATGCAAAGAAGCTAACGGTCGGCTTTGCTCACATATTTCTGGTTGGAACTGTCCCTCGCTGACTGACCATCTACCGGAGTGAGTTTAAATTGTGGTTCACCCCACGCGCCATTTGGCATTGCAACATTTGCGGTGCGAGCAAACGGCCTGGTCCGCGGGCCACAGCCAAATGCAATTGGTGAAGAGGCCGTGCTTTGGGTACCATTGCTTCACCACCCAGTCCTGCCACAGAGCTTGAGCGAAAGAGAGAGTTCGTTTCTTGGAAGCTCGCACATCGCCTTGCCCCACTGAATGTACAGTTGGGTGAAAGTAGATTAATCATATCCCCTTCAAATTGTGCCATCTAGTTTCACCCTGATGTAATTCTTCAACCGAGGGCGAGGAGTTAAGTGATTACCATCGAGACCTCCGATGCCTCGTCGTGCAAAGTCCTGCGTGTCCAAGAAACAGGTGTCACACTGATCGTCTGTGCAGCTGGAACAATCATCCCATACTCGCAGATATAGGCAGCCCACCTTAGCGAAGCTGTCAACGGCCAGAGCCAACGATGTTTGAATGCTTTCCGACCAATGCCTCAAGATATCACACGCAACTTAGTCTGCTAGAACTATGTCAACACATATGGCCGCGGGTCAAAACCAATGGTACCATTTTGGGGTAGGTGCACCTATTTTAGTGGGGATTGGGATGTTCCCTGGGGGTACGTGATTTTGACCCATGGCCATATGCCGCGAAAAGACTATGCTGACAGCTGCTGCCCAGCAAAAGTCGCGGAGCACAAATGGGGCACTAGAAATGAGTTCGTGGCGACATGAATATGATTGCCCCTCTAGGCTTTGGCAACCGTGCAAATTCAGGGAAGCAACTTCGCGCGTGCGCCAACTATGCTCCATTTAAGCTGGTGGTAGCTGGAAATACATTTCGGGCACGCACCCAAGCGACAAGCGCGTCATTGTTTCCCTTGATGAAGCGAACCACTGAAAAAAACGATGCAAGCGCTGCCAAGTGGCATTCACGCAGATGTCTGGCATGGGATAAAGGCCTTGGCGAGAACTTGTACAGAGACGGTTTGATGATCTCTCGTAGCCTTCTGGCCGCAAGAACTGTTTTTCGAGTCCCTATACAAAGGGGTGGTTCAGGTGAGGAGGTACCCCCCCATCATTGAACCACCTTGCAATCTGCGACTGAACCACCCGGGGACTTTGCATAGGAGGCGAATCAGAGACACCCTTCCTTCGGGATTCTGGGGGAGGGGGACTATCTGGAGACAGGGATCATTTCTTAGATGTTCTATTCCTCACTTGACCCAGATATAAAAGGTTCACCTGTTGGGGCCATGCCTGAAAATGGACCAAAAAGTGGAAACCAAAAGGTCAAATGGTCAACAAATTCTCAAGGTACGAGTGCATGCGCCAGAGTTCAAATACCATCACCGCTGATTTGGCATTGCGTTCTGGATTGGCCTCCGCTCCTAGCCTCCTTCTGTTGAGGAGAGTATGACATGGCATGTCTCTGTTGGCATGGGACTGAGAAAAGCGCTTCAGATTAATAAGTCAGTGTCGCCAAACATGTTGATGGAAATCATGCTGGTTGCATCATGGCGAGCAAGGAAAGGAGGCAAAAATAGTGTCATCTGACACAGGCCATTGAAAACGGCTTTGACTTCCAAAACTATTGAAATTCATTACGCCACCTAGCCATGCCCGCCTCATCTCACCCCCCAAGCGCCGTACCTTGACAACCCCCAATCTGTTTCTTTGCGAGCTGGCTGCATGTTCAAGTTGGGAAATTGCAGCCCAGAGCAAGCCCAACCAAGCCGCCATCATGATTCCCGGTAATGCTGCGAATCTATCCGAATCTATCTTTTCCTGCAGAAGGTTCCTATGGAGACTGGTCTGTTCCTGAGGAGTCCGCCACAAAGGCCAGGACGCCATGCTGTTCCGCACACAACTGCGCGCAGTTGCACAAATCGATCGAACATCTGAGCCTTTTTCGTATGCTTCTCACCTGGACGGCCACCAGACTGCGGAAAATCTCCAGCACATTCCTATTGTTTCGAGTCCGGACATGGGAATGAAATGGACACTAGGTCCTCCAGCGGATAGGTTAGAATAAGGGTACCCTTTTTTTTCAGTAGCCTATTTTAGTAAGGGAACCCTCCCCCAAAAAAGGGGCACTACTGGGGGACCTAGGACACCTTGTTGGGCGCCCGTCCAGGGCTCCCACTCCCCCGTTCCCCACTCTCGTGAGCCGATGGGCTGAGAGCGGAGGGTCTGGCCGGCAGAGAGCCCCTGCGCTCCAGCCCGGCAGCGTAGACCAGCGTGGACACCTCGCCGGTGCCCAGATCCAGGTGGTCCTTGGCATCCACTCTCAGGTTAGGTGTCCATTAAACGATGGCGCTAAATGGATTAAACCAATCTAAACCAGTGGGATAGGCGTCCTTTCGCAAAAAACGAGGGCGCGAAATGGGAGAAACCCATCTAAACCAGTGGAACCCATCTATTCAGCTAACCAAACTCACCTAAAAAGAACACCTATGGTTGGGATGTTGTGCAACCCCATCATAGAATCCAAGGTTGAAAGGGACATGAAATGTGGAAGTGTCCTTTGAGTCGGTTACAACTCTCTATGGAAGAACAAAACAACCCAAGAATGGCAGGTAGCCTATTGGAAGGAAGCTAATGGAAGGGTTGGGTTTAAACAAGGGTTACAAGTCTTGAACATCTCCAGGAACAAGTTAGACATCGCGCATGAAGATGTTGGCCAAGACCTGTTTCGAGATTCCTCAAGTGAGCAGCGCCCATTTATCAAGGTTGGGATAGGCCTAGGCCATACTACAAGCAGAATTTGCCCAGATTGGACTGAAGCGAAACTAAATGGCCTGTCTACTACTCTCCTAACAGATTATGGAAAGACAAATGGTTCGAGGGCAACCTTTGCTGCTTGAGAGAAGCCACCTGTATGAAAATTCCTGCTTTAGAGACAACCCGAGGTTTATTGGCATCTTTGAAGGCAAGAAACCACTGTTTGGATTATTTCTGTTAACTTGCGACACCTACCTCCCGCCCAACACATGCTCTATTTTATTCCCTTGGCCAATGAACATCAGACATTCTGGTGAGGTCACGTTTCTTGTGGTTCCCTCTTGATGTGCAAAGGGGAAAGTCTCCTCTTTGCCAATCGGCACGACGAGTTTCTTCTGCCTGACAAATCGCCTTATCGCTTCCGGACCTCCATTTCGCCACTTCCCACGGCATCTTCACCCCTGGCATAGGCCGCATAGGCCCCTCCATACATGATTTCCCTTGTACTTGCAAAGGGGGCAACCATGTGGAATCAGCATTGAACCGGCCCTCTGTCGCGTGTAGAGATCTTCCAATCGAATATATTTGCCAAGCCTCGATGCGTGCCTGCATGTCAGGCCCGGCGACTGACCAGTAGACCTGCGCTGGAGTCTCGGATGTTGGTGACGCAAAAGTGGGCATCACCTTCTGCCAATATTGCTTCAATGTCTCTTGATGTCTAATGAGTCGATGGCATCCAGTTTTGGGGCCTGGGTTTTGTTCACAATCTGTGATACGCAAGTGGCCTGCATTTTTTTCTAGAACCATGAGGTCCTCAAATGTACGGATCGAAACCAACCAAAAGCCCACCCTACTGTCGGATTCCAATGTGCTATCTGATTCGGCGGGCACATGTGAATGCAACTGTGTTTCACCTGTTTCCCAGGGGTTCCCCAGCCGAGTGCTAGCTGTTTCTATTGGTTGGATGTGCTAGCTGATTGAGTGATACTCGCTATTGGGTAAAGGTCATGATTGTGCCAAAGTGAGCTGTAGGTGGCCACTTTCTGTGCCGAGAGGGTATCGAAGTGATGACATGTTGACTGGCTGTGACTGGCCCAGCATCTGAGACAGTGACGCACAACATCGGGGCCCGAATCGAGCGTCGGGGTGTGTCGGGCCCCGATGTGGGCCCCGACGCTGTCAAATGTCTGGGAATCAACCACATTGGTACAGGGGTTACTTGCCACAACGAGCAGGTTCCGCAGGTTTCGTGGCGTTTTTTTTTCCCCCTCCTGCGCAATGTTTTTGTTGAAATCGCCCGGGGGGGGGGGGGGGCGGGGTTTCCAGGATTAGCATGTCACATGAGTCCAGGGATGGAAATCCCACTTGGTCACTTTCGTTTCGTCCAGAAGCTCTCGGAGACCCTGGCTGCTCCACTCGGGTTTTCTTGCGTACCAGGCTTGGGCCAACTTGTTTCAGCGCGCTTCGAGAATCGTTTAAGCAACCTTTTGGTCGCCGCGTTGTGGTTGTTTCAATCGATCTTGCCATCCCAAACCTGCCAATGCCCACAATTGACGGATCAAAACAAAACTTCCAGTTGCTTAAGTTCACTGCAGAAAACAAACAATAGGGGAACATGTCCAGTGATACTGCCATAGATTCCCTTTACAACCAACAGGGGAACATAAATTGTCCGGTAGCGATCGATTCCCTCTAAAACCAACAAGTGATTTGTTATTTCTAAAACCATTGGCTAAAGTCCACTGGAAACAAAAATTAAATGTCCAGTAGTGATGGCTTCCCTTTAAAACCAACAGGGGAACAACAATTGTCCAGTAGTGATCGATTACCTTTAAAACTATCAGGCGATTTATTCATTCTAAAACCATTTGCTAAAGTCCACTGGAGACAATAAGAAAATGTCCAGTGATGTCCTGTAGTGATAGCTTCCCCTAAAAACCAACAGGGGCTTTAAACAAACAAAAACATCGTCAGCAAATCAAAGCCCCGAACCCCCGGACCTGCTGGAAGAGCCGCGTGACGTTGCCCATGAAGGGCAAGCCCGCGCTAGGCGCAGGCGGCACCGCCAGTGCCGAGACCTCCTGAGCGACATAGAAAAGCTGTTGGTCTAGGATTCATCAGTAAGTGGACGTTTAGCAAGCCACTAGGGTGATTGTGAGCGATTGCAGGTGTAAGCGGTCATGGTTCATCAAGCACTTACCACTTGTGGCTTGCTCACTGCGGGATAGCAAACCACAGAGTCACGGGTCCAGCTAGGGTTCCCGCGGCAAAGGCAAACAGGGGCTGAAAAACACGGCGTCGTCTGAATCCAAACCGCCTGCCCTACAGAAATAGCGACTTTATTTGGGTTATATATTATATATACCTTCGGAGCTATCACAATGGGTTCTTCCCGAACAATTGGGTACATAAAACTAGATTGGGTGTGGTTCATTCCAAACAAACATATCCTGAACTCAGTTGTTCCCAAACAAGTATTTGTGGACTGTCAACAAAACGAGTGGGCGTTTCCCAAAAAGGGGGGTGCCTGAACCAGCCGCGGGGACAAATCCAAGGAAGCCATAAGACAAGCGAAGGCAAGCAGATTTCCCGGGACCCAAAACAGTACCACCAAAATCAGCGGGGGCCAACTGTAAGTTGAATCTCTATCAAAGACCAAAACGAAACTCGCCTGTGCCCGAAAGGTGATGTTTGGCAGGTGATGTTTGGTAGTGCTGAGCAAGGCCAAGTGATACTTGAAGGTCAAAGGTGACGATTCAAACAATGGAGGGAACTCTGAGAAGGGAAATTGTGAAACAACACAACACAAGGGATCCCTGTTTAACTGCCACCAAGACCAGTGGGTGTTCCCAAGGAATCTAGAAAATTGTGGGATCCTTCTGGTGTCCATTTCATCCGACAAGAGGGCCCGGATGTTGGGGCAAAACCTTTGTTTGGTGAGCCAATTTGACAGTCATGTTCACATAGGGGCCCTTTGCCATACATCCCCAAAGCTGCCAACCAGTTAGGGTCCGCCCGAGCAAATGCTTTCCGCGGCTTTTGAATGGAGTCATGATTCCTCTGGTCGTCCCTCTCACATCTTTCCGGGCAAACACATGAGTGACTGAACCAGCGCTGTGGTCGGGGTTTCCGGAAACAACGGGCAAAGGAACAGAAAGGCCCTGGCGGTCACGATTGCTTCCCTCTGGAAGGCTCGTAGTTCTGGGATGCCCTCTGGTTTCTACATTGCCCTTGGTCAGGTGGACGGCTCTTCTCAAGAACTGATGTCAGGACACGATTCTTTGGAAGGAAACATAAAGTCTTATGCAGCCCCCTTGGGGACAAGCACCCATTCTGAAAAATATCTCTCAAGCCAAGGCACATCGCCCTCTAGGAGGGTGTGCAAGGTCTCGACATTGCCAGAGATGAAGTTGGCCTCGGGCCCCGCGAAGAGCTGCGTCACATCCTTCACCAGCTCCAGCTGAAGCTGGGAGTGGCTCTTGTTGCGCACCCAGAACCTGAGGGGATCTCAGGCGGCAGCTCAGCTGATGCCTTTGACTGATACACCAACATGACCACCCCCCCACGCAAAAAGCGAGGGTCCGGAGCAGTGGGTGCGAATCAGACCACCTACTCTTGGTTGCTTTCTGCTCCCCTGCTAAAAGCTTAACTTTTAGTGGTTTAATGGAAAACCCATCAGTTGGCAAAAAGTTAGAGTCCTAACATCCAAGCAAAATGCACCAAAGTACTTACAGGTTTCTTGAAGGTTCCAAATCTCGCGCTTTCCAAGGGTGTTTTTTCTATAGGCCGAACCCTTGAATTGTGGGTAAAGGAAATCAAATCGGGCACTAGCGTGCCTACCTTTGCCGCATGCCCGCAACGGGCGGTGGCGATGGTTCTGGCACATGTCCATATTTGGGGGATCTAACATCTTGCTTGCTTTTTGAAAGCTTTCCCAAACACCATTCATTGAATGTAGATCTTACACAGCCAAGCAAATTTAAGCAACACAATGGATGCAATGCAAGCAAAGCCTTCTCCGCCACAAAGACTGCAAACAAAGGCGAGGAAACTGCAAGAGACAGTCAGCATCCTAGAGACATCTGAGTGCTTCACGCGAAAGTGATGATCCGCTTTGCTCGAATACATCTGTTTCGTGACACGCAATATCTCACATTTCTCCCCAATGTGCTCAAAGAGTCCTCCACAAACCCCGTACTGGTTTTCTAAACCCCGTACTGGTTTTCTGCATCGAAGGCACGCGAAAAAGAACCTATGGGGTTGACTAGTTGAATGGTCTTTCTAGGCAAAATGCCATACAATTTCCGAATCTTTCGGAACTCCCCCTGTTTGCAACTTGGGCTCTGCCATGCGTTCAGTACCCTATTCACTTGCGACGGAATTTCTCCGTCCTGGATCTTGCACGGATATGTTGCCAAACTTGCTCCGATCTGGCCCAGTCAGGGCGAAGGTTGCGGGCTAAAGGGGGGGAAACAAGGACGCACGTAAAAGTTGCACATCTTCCCGTCTACAAGGGAGCCGGTGTCATGCCTGCAAGCCTTAGTTAAGTGGTTTCGGAGTTTTTGCCGTTGCTTGGCCAATTTCTAAGACTCGGGATGCCTACCCTGCATCACTGGTGTGCTCTTGGATCGGTACCAATGTGTGTTTGCCTTGTTTCCATGGCAACATCTCTACAAGCTTGCCCGGCACATCCGCCACAGTATCTTGCTTTTTGGGTCGTGCACCAAGCTCATTCTTCCTGCAACAGCAGGCACAGCGAGCTCAGCAAACACATCAAAATGCAATGAAAAAACGTATCTCTTGCGGAAGTCAATCAACCTCCCTTGGTAATCAGCTGCGGCTCATCTGTCCGTCCCCCCTGCTTGCGTGTATAAAAAGGCTCTGTGATACCCAAGTCGGCCGTCCCCACTACTTTATCACTTGACAGGGGATTCCGTTGCTTCGTCCCAAGCCGTGGCAACCTCCGCAACCCCCAGCCACGGACTTGCTCCCCTCTGTGGTTGGAAACTCAACCATGCTTCGAAGTTCATTTGTTATAACCACGCTTACAAGTGTGGTAAAAGGGATTGGTTCCTTATAACTATGGTTATAAGCTTCTTACTACCCTCCCACCAATTCACGTGGAACCTGACGTTCGGGGGGTCCTGGAAGACCATTTTCCTTTTAAAGGGATTCCTTGTCAGGTTCCGCGTTAGGGGGGCGGGTAGGCTGAACATCCACAACTTGGCATCGCCGCCCTCCTTCGACTCGCCGACTCGCCGGGCAGCATCCCGCCGCCATGCGCGGGCGCCGCTGCGCGTAGCTCACCCCAACCGCTGCTGCCAGAGCCCAGCTGGGCCAAAACCTACCCGATCAGTAGCAACTCGGCTTTCGGCTCAGGAAAACCAAAGGAAACCAATGGAAACCCAGAGAAACCTCAGCAAACTGTTTGCCCAATGTGTCTAACCCTAAACTCCAGCCAAACCAACCCCAAGCCCTCTCCAACCCGAAGTGACTTGGGCTTTGATCAAACAGCCGGGTTCCTCCCGACCTCCGAGCCGCTGCTAGGTAGTCCGGCGGCAGCATTCAGCGCGTCTTGAGCGGACCAGGAGCGGAAGCTGGCGCCATCCCCCCAGTAGACCTTGGAATCGTGCACCCGGGTGCCAACCACTGCTTGTTGGAAAGGGTTGGGTGCATTGCTGCAGCTTGAGAAGGGGAATGCGTAGATAGGAAAATAGATAGATCGATCGATAGTTAGATAGATCGATAGATAGATAGTTAGATAGACAGCTAGATAGGAACACAGGCACGTAGCTAAATAGACAGGTGGAAAGATAAAGAACGATAACAACACAAAAAGGAAATGAAGGAAGGAAGGAAGGAAGGAAGAAAGGAAGAAAGAAAGAAAGAATGACCGAAAGAAAGAAAGACAGAACAAACGAACTATTGAAAGGAAGAAAGAAACAAGGAAAGAAGCAAACAGAGAACGACAGAAACAAAGAAAGACACAACAAGGAAACACCAAATTTTGCAGAAACAACTAAAAACAAATACATAAATGAAAACCATACAGAACTAAACAACACAAGAAAAACCACCATGAATGAAACAAAAACAACAAAGGAAGATATAAACACGGTGATAGCGTCCGTACAGGACCTTGTGTTTTCAGCACGCAAGCCCGGCCGCTGCAACAGCAAAGCCTGTTTTTGCCGAAACGAAACGAATATCGCCCGAACAAGAATAATGTTCAAGAGGTGTCAAATCCTCCACGACTGTGTTGTCGTTTTGGAAATGACAAGCGCTTCGCCCCGGCGGAATCACGTTGCTTGGAAAGAGCTAGCAAATCGAAACTTCGCGTTTTCGCACCACGCGATCATATCAGGCCGCCATGCAGAGAGTGCGTCAGGCGGCCACTCAAAGTTTTGCTCCGCCGCGCAAGGTTGAGGGGGTGCTTATCATTTGGCAGGCGTGGATGCAGTGCTGGGCGGGCTCACTTTTGCGGGGCGCTTTTCATTTGGCAGCTGTGGGTGGAGTGGAGTGCGAAGCGTTCCACGGAGCGGTGAAATTGGTGCCAACGCCTATACCAGAACCCTGCGAACATGCAATGTAAAATATCAAGATTGGCTAAACATGTAAAATGTCACCTTTCGTTGACAACGCAAGGTCCTGTACAGGCGCTGTCACCATAAACACGGTGACAGAACAAACAATGACAAAGATAAAGAAGATATAGAACAAAGAAAACACAAAAGAAAAAAAACAGAGAAAAGGAAAGACAGAAGGAAGGCAAGAAGGAACAAAGGACATAAGTAAAGAAAGAAAGAAAAAACAACGAAGACACAGAGACAGAAGAGAAAAAAGAACAGAAAGACAGGATACAGGAAAGACATGACAGAAATAAAGAAACGATAACTATAGTTCATGCATGTCTTAAACTTCCGTCCACCGGCATAGGCTTTAGTCGTTCCCCCGGCCGCCCAGCCCAACATTCAATGATTTTGAGCTTCCGGCCCATAGTGAGCCTACAAAACCATGAGTGCGTCGTTTTCTGGGTGGGGCTTCAAAACCACAAACATGCGGGTACCATCTGCAAAAAAGAAAGACAACTAATTTATGTGCCGTTTCCCAATAAATAAATATTAATCAAAAAAAAAAAAACGCGCGCCAAGCGACGACTCCGTTGCTGGCGACGAGGGGGCCCTTCGTGAGGCCCGGAACTTCCAGCCACGGGCCCAGGTGCGAAGGGAGGCGCGGCGGAACGGAGCTGAGATTCGCCACCCACCTGTGAGCTCTTGCTGCAAACTAAGCTGACTAGGGACAAACATATTGTACATGTAGGCACATATATATATATATAATATATAGATAGATATATAATTACTGATGTATTGATATATACATATAAACATATCTGTCTGTGTGTATGTCGAATTCGGGGGACCTAACAACTTGTGTTCCTGCTGGTGTGCTTTGAAACCAAGGTGAAAGGGTACCCTCAAAGAAACACATACCCATTTCTCGTAAATTTCAAGCCTAAAAAAAACAAGTCCAATGTCGACAGCCGAGCCGCAGCTTCTGCGTCAAGTTGGAAGCGAAGAAGATCATGGCAACGAGGCCCTGCGAAACCCAGATCCCTTGACCTAGACAAAGGGAACCCTTTCAGAACCAGGGAAATTGCCTTTTGCGGGTCCAATGTAAAACCTGGAAAACCCACTGTTTCCCAAACAGTTCAAGTCCGAAGATCCAACCAAGTAGCCATAAATAGACACCTGCCCGCCTGTCAGCAACCAAGGTACCTGTTCCATTTTTTCTAGCGCCACGTTTTCCAGTTGGCGAGGGAAGAGCTTCTGGGCGCTCCTTTTCTTTTGAGGTGTTGGTGCGGGACCCGTTCAAAAAGGGGTAGCTCTTGTTCTGCCAGGATCTATTCTCCCCCCCGGCAATGGTTTGATGCACAGGACCCATTTGGAGAACCTGTGCACCATGCTTGGTGGTGGGGAAAGCAATTTTGGTGAAAGAGCCTGGAACACGCGACCGCCTAACTTGGGGGAAGGATCTCAAGTGCCAAGTCACTTCGCTTCATGCTTTAAGATTCAAGACCTCTTTCCTGTGAATTTTGCCTGGCCCGTCCTGCTGGGTCCAAGCCAGAGCTCCATCTTCAGCTAAGTTCGGCCCCGTGCCGGAGCGGTTCTGCAGCTCTGCAGAAGTTGCATCCCCCGGGAGCCGCGAGAGCTCTTGACGACCTGTCTTGTCCATCCAGGATCTGACCAGCATACCTCCCTCCAGCCAGACAAGCTCGTGCGTGTCGTGGAAGAAGAGCATGTCGCTGATCCCCCCATTGGAAGGGGGAGGTGGCGCCTCGTTTCCCACAACCCCGCTATCCGGCAGCGCCATCGTTGAGCAACTGCTGGAGGTCCAAAAAAAGTCCGCACCATTGAAGTCAGTCCAGATCACCCAAGTGTCAATCTCCGAAGACGCGGCGAGAGGGAAAAATACGAAGAGCAAGACAGCTCTGCCCACGCAGCGGAGCTGCAGTTCATTAACTCTCATCATTTGTACAAGATCGTCCCCTGGAGCACGCGGTGGGCAAAAAAGGGCGCCCTCCAGAGTATTGCATAAGCATCCTGAAGCTACCAGTTGCCTAAGTACCACCTGCACTAGTGCTGAAAGATGCGAACCTGCAAATACATGTATGTAGACATCTTCATGTAACTATGCATGTATCACTGCTTTCTGTGAAGATGCGGCTGGGCTCAACATGGCACTCTGTGATGACTGATGCTGCGGTGTGTAGCTAAGGTTGGACCCCATGTTCTAGAGGCCGGTATATACATGTAAGACTTTCAGGCAAGGCTACTTTGTGGGTGAAACTTGAATCAATTCCTGAGCCAAAACACCGCGCGTTCAATTTTAAGTCAGGCGGCAGGGGATACCAGGATAGAGGCAACACGGAGACAACAAGTTAGCGGTCCAGGGCACTATGGTTCAAACCCAAAGCAATATGCTATCCTCTTTCCACATCACAGTTGTGAACATGAAAGGAAGCCTGTTTCCAAGACGATAGTTTTTCAGAATCCCGCTTCTATTGGAAGAGCAGTGCTAGCTGGATAATGGAAATTCAGCTTGTGATAAACCACTTTTGAGTCTTGTTGGCAGATGCAGTCTTGAAAGAAGAGATTCGGATTTATTTTGCAGATGAAACACACTCCTCTTGTGAGGCAGCCACAAGTCCATAATTCACAATTATCCATGGTCCACCGAACTAGAAACAATAGCAAATGAAAAGCCGATAAGAGCACGCATGCCTTACATGTGTCATGCTATTGTTTTTGTAGCTCACTCTCAAATACCAATACCCTATAGACGTTGCACAAAGCCCAGTGGTCTTCGAGGCATGTTAAGACCCCCTGCTGCATCTGTTGTCGAAGAGACCTCAAAACAAACAAGGGCTGGGACCAGATGGTCAATGTCGCGCGTAAGCTTGGGATTGGGACCATCCCTAATCAACCTCCCCTCCAACACTGTCTAGATCAAGAGGTCTCAAGGATTTCACTGTGAGCAACTGCCGTTGCAGGACATTTGTAGAAACCCTTTGAGAGGGCCACCAAACGGTTTCGTTGCACCTCAGGGAACCCCCGAAACAATCGAAAACAAACCAACCCTCGGAGACAAAAGCATTGGAGTTCGGGGCCAAACTGCTTGCAGCTTCCAGCCTGTAAAGTAGGGCCCTAAACACATCCCTGCACCTGCAGCGTCATGGAGAAATCACTAAATCAAGGTTCCACGTCCTTCAATCATCACCCAAAAGGAAACTCAAGCGGCCCAACCGAGCTGAAACAAGCAAAAAGGGACATCTAGTTGAGGGTTGGAGGAGACTTTGGTTTTGGTCAAGGTCCAACTGTTGAAGCATCCAGTGACTGGCTTTTCCGGCAAAAGCACAAGCCACAAAACATTGGAGTTCATGTCCACCAAGAACACTGCCCGTGCTCCGCTTTGTTTGGCTCGTGGCTTAACCCGCGTGGGGCGTTGGCTTCTGCGGAGCCAAAACCACACCAGCCGTCTGGTTGGTCGATCAGCCAAGCGGAAAACACTTGTTGTTGGACCTTCTTGCCCTCCCTCCAGCAATGCAAGCCGGAGGGGTTGCAAAAAGGGAAATGGAGGATACACTGGAGATGTCGGCAAAAAGGACCAAAGCTGATCGCGGTGAAACACTGACTTGAGCTCAAAGCTGGCACCTCAGATCAGCGCAGGAACTGAATCAGCTCGTGTGTCGTCCAAAAAAAGCGAGCAACACATACGTATCTGGATGTCCTACACCTCAAGTTAGTATATGTCTATGCTAATATCTCCTTATATGGGATGCTACCTTTTTGGGACATGAAGGGACCTGATTCAAATTGCGTGTCAGGGACCCTCAAAATGGGTGTGGTTTTCTCTGGTTTCTGGTCAAGCCAACCCCCAACCCCCCCCAAGCCAACCCCTCAACCAAAACAAAGGCAAACCACTCTTTGCCCGCCTTCAACGTGGGGCCTTGGACCGCACGTCCGTTCGGGCCTGGGTCGGCAGGGGCCGCATAAACACTTGGGACTGAGGTATGGGTCTGTCTTGTTTGGAGTCGGCAACACTTGTTGGGTGGTTTTGAGGGAGAACCAAAAGGCAAACGGGTCCCTTCAAAAAGACACGGCCATATGGCTTGAAGGGCGGGAAGTCCAAGGGAGCGGAAGGCGGAACGCGCAACTTGGCTGATCAGCCATGCTGCGGTGAATGTGCAGGTAGCGAGGGATCCATCGTTGGATGGATCCTGCAAATTCACCTGGCGATGCAGCAAGGCGAGGTCGCAACTGCACAGAGGGCCCCAAATGCACCGAACAATCGTGTTTAGATCATCCTCACGCCAGCAGGTGATGTCGAGGTTAAAAATGGGTGTCCGCACAACCAAGAAGAAAGGGCTCCAAACGTCGAGCGGTACAGCGATTTCTGGTAACCCTGCCAGCCACCCGGGTAGCGAACCCTTTTTGGGGACCAGTTCCAGAAACCCACCAAAGAACAGGCAACAAGGGCTCCAGTGAACCGGGACGACTTAAAGTATTAGAGCTGCCTGTCAAATCAAGCTGGGCCTCTCCCACATAGGATGCTGAATGTTGCCCTGAGGTTTGCTTCGATTTCCCATTGCTCCCCTTTACACACAAGCCCAATATACACAGACCCTCGGCCCCCTTAAAGAGAAGCCAAAATGCGCTTTGCCAATCTGAACATGCTTAAACAAGAAGTGGACCCTGCAAACAAAGAAAAAACAGAAAGGCCTCCTGGTCTCCAGCAAAAGGCCGTGCGAAAGTCACCGCAATACCGCCGCTGCCTGCCGGAGCAAAGGGCACTCTCTGGCCGCGAATGTGAGGAACCCTAAAAAATGAAGTCAAACCCGAAATGGGGTTCCATCAAAGGAGTCCCAAGAGGCTACATGGGAGTTGCCCAAAATATGTTTTGTCTACTTTGGGAATGTTATTTGGTGGCGCTTCATTATATTTCCCAGATTCAGCTGGTGTTGCGAACCCTGAAGAAACTCGGCCTCAATTCCTAACCCATACCCAAAGCTTCCAAAGACCCCGTTAAACTGGGTTGCTCTGTGTGAAGGACCCTGGTTTCCACTAGGTCTCCCTTTTTCAGGTTGTGGACTTCTTGGCTCACGCAGCTCATTTCCCGACAACTCCTATTTTGACTCCCAACCCAACCGGTGAACACGGCTGAATATATGAGGCCTCTTCAAAACCCGCCTATGGAAGATGCCCGAGTTTGTTTGTCAGGCAGTTGCCGCCCATGCGGGTTCTTCCAGCCAAATTTCACTGGACATGCTTTGAGGAGTTTCAGGCAAAACCTCGTCTCTTTTGCGCCGTTAACCAAAGAGCTTCCAGGTGCCATTCAGAAGGATACCGTGGCCCTGCAGCACGATGCGCCGGTCGGAGGACACGGGATTCTTGTACCTTGTGCTGCTTTGACCCCAAAAATGCGGAAGCTGCCTGCTGGTTCCGCAAGCGGACATGGGAAAACTGAATGGCCCCGATTTGTATTTCTGGTTGAGAGGGAAAACTGAAGGAAAGCCAAAGCGGGTTCCTTACAAGCGATACATATAAAACTCAGCTGCTTTACAAGGTGAAGTTTCTTAAATGAGCTGGTCATTAGTTGGGTGATCTTTCAACTGTCCCACATGCGTGCTTTAAGGAACCCTGAGGGCGAAGGCTTCTGGCAAAGATAATTCGGCTGTCCTAAAATAAACGTGGTTTAGTGGAAGCTACTACTAAACCCTACAAACCTAAAAACCTAAGGGGACGGTTGGGAACCACCAAGAAACGGGCTCACCGCGTGCATCTGATCCCCAGAGAAGAGCAGCATGCGACCGGGAAGATACTCCACATCCTGAAACGGCAGCTGGCTGACGTACGCGTTCGAGTTCTTGCCCACCGGAAGCACGTTGCCCTGAGGGCAAGAGTTGGCCAACTCCATTTCCCGCGCGTGTTCTCTTGTGCAATCTGCTGCGCTTGTTCTCTCGTCCTCTCGCGCGAGTTGCTGCTCGCTTTCTCTCGCGAAGCTTGCTGTGCGCGTGCTCGTGCGTGCTCTCGCGCTTTTTGCTCTGCACGCGCTCTCTTGCATCTTGCTCTGCATGTGCGCTCGACGTGTGCTCTTCCATGTCTCTTGCTGTGCATGCGCTCGTGCACCCTGCTGTGCATGTACTGCTGTGCATGTACTGCTGTGCATGTACTGCTGTGCATGTACTGCTGTGCGCAGGTGCTCTCGTGCATCTTGCTCTGCGTGTCCTCTTGTGCATCTTGCTGCGCGAGAAGGCAAACAGTCTTGCAGGAAGAACCCTTCGCAATTCGCAATGCTTGCAGGAAAAGTCAGGGGATCGCCCTTTTCCCGCAAGTCCAAGTTTCTCTTTCCTGCACCAGAGTAGAATCCAAAAAGCCCGGGTTTTGGAGGAATCCCTCCTTGTGCGGAGCTTCCCGTTTGGGTTCCGTGCGAATCCGGGTGGAGCCCCGGCTAGAGGCCCAACCCGTTCACCATCCGCTCCATCCGGCCGGAGGCCATCCACGTGCCTAGTGACCCAAATGCTTTTCTGCAAAAACAAGACATGGATTCCTTTTTGCCGGACTTTTGCGTGGCTCCCAAACCTGAAACCTGGGATTTAGAGGGCGGTCGCTTCGCTGAACTGCGACCCCCCTTCAGTGCTCCGGATGGGCGGGCGGAGTCCAATGAAGATAGTGGAAGAAGCAGATGGAATACCGTGAACACCTCCGATTGAAAACAAACCTCCTCAGAAACTGAGCTTCCATTTAGTTCCCATTGATCCCCCCCAGGAAAAAAACAAAGAAAAGAAAAAACAAAAACAGAGGATCCGAACTTGGGTGTGACCCCCCAAAACGGCTATGGTTTCGTGGGTGTGTCAAACTGAGGCATGCTATTGGTTTCCTGTTGGTTTCCCTTTAAACTAACCTGAAGAGGGTTAACCTCCCCCCCCCCAAAAAAAAAGAGATATTTAATACAAAATATAAAACACACTCAACAACCAAAAAACGAGAGACCCATTTGGGCCACGCCTTCTGCCCCACCAGGCGCTGAATCTTCTTGTCCATCCACGCCTCGAACATCCGCAGCCCCGCTCCTCCGCTGGGCACCTGCCAAGCACGCGGCGAGATTTTTCGCCGGAGAGCAAAGGCAAGGAACACCCGGGCCGGTCCAAAACACCGCGAGATTGAAAAAACGGTGATGATGCTGGATGGGACGGTGAAAAAACACCAGGGCCGGTCCAAAACACCGGTCCAAAACCTGGTTCAGGAAAAGTCCATATTGAGTGTCCCTTGAAGAAATGTGTGGGATACACAAGAAGCCCTGAACAAGCATCCTTCCAGTTTAAAACAAAACAATCGACGTTTGCCATCCTTGATGGGCAGGGTAAAGGTCAGCGTCTGCGCATCCTGCTGCTTGTTCTCTAAGTAGATGGTGTACTGCCTTGGTGAGCTGATCAAAGCATCAGCTACCGTCCCACTCCAAGCGTCAGACATTGTGCGAAGCGGAGAACCACAAGCTGCGAAGGACACATTGCGGAGGGATCAAGTGGTGCACAAAGCAAAACTAGACACTCCTGTATGGCTATGTGTTTAAATAGGGAACATACTCAAAAAAACATGGTGGGCATGAATGATTCCCCTATGCAAATGATGTCCACTAAATGGTCCCCAATGAACAGTCATACCCGTACAAACCTTTTCAACCATGTTCACAGAACGATTGTCAACGAATGGGTTCGGGGTTTAGTTTTGGGCGCTGCTCACTTGATTTGGTTTCAAGATCTGCGGTGTAACTCCCCAAGATTTGAAAATTGGGATGGGAGGCCATTGACAGTTTTGTCGCAGCCCACCAACAAGATTGGTGCCTGCCTCACTACCACAATAAAACCCAGCTGTAGAACCACCTGGAAAGCCTACTGGCCCCAAAACCTCGAAACCGCCAATCAGTTCCCCCCCGAAACGGTGGTTCTCAAAGTGGACATAATCCAGCGTGATTGATTGAACCCCTCAAAATGTATCACCTTGAAGCGACCCAGCCTAAGCTCTACAACACATGAAATAACAGCTATTTTGTGAACTCCTGAAAGTCTTCACTTTACTACTCCAAACCATTAATCCGGTAACTAACTGAACTAAAATGATGAACACACCCGCCCAAACAAAAAAATCAAGCTTTGCTAATTCTAAGAAGTCATCAGAAATCTGTTTTTGGTTGGAATTTGGAAGTTCCGCTAGAAAATCTTGCTGGTTTCTGTGACTGCGACAGGTGGTTGTCAAAAGAAAGAGCGAGAGAGAGAGAGAGAGAGAGAGAGAGAATCACCCAAGTTTAATCAGCTCAGGAAGCGAGTTTTGCTTCTGCCTCTTCCTTTTTGAGCCCCCTGATAAGTCACCACCTTTTTTTCCAAGGTGCATATCTCGGTGAGGCGGTGCCACCTGCAGTGCGAGCTTCCGGAACTGCTGTGGCAGATCATCCAGGCAGTCCCCCCGGTGCATCTTCAGGTAGGGATACCTGAGAGAGAGAGAGAGAGAGAGAGAGAGAAAGAGTGAGCTCTGGGAAAAAAGAACATGTATTGTTTCATTGAGGCGGGCATTGGGACATTCTGCGTTTAAAAAGCACACATCAAGAAAGCTTAGCAATGATGTGCTCTTTGAGCACTCAAACTCCCGTATGAACTGGCATAGAAGCCAACTGCAGACAAACATCATGCAGGCAATTTGCCGAACATCCAATAAAGACAAGGGTGTTCAAAACGCAGACCCCTAATCCTTATCCGCAGGCCTAGCGGGACGACACTAAAACAAGCGAAAACCACTACCACCTGTCGCATTTGGTTTTTTTTTTGAACAACCCAAATCACTGCCGAAGTCGATGGTAAGTAGATGGTGTCACCAAAGCAGGTTACAACCCTGGTAAGGGAACCATTTCCTGTTACTCACTGTTGACCATGGCTTTTACCTAGCAGGCGGTTGAACATCAAGGAGGCCGGGGTTACGTATGAATAAGCAATTGGATGGCTTGCAGAGAAGAAACAAGAACAACCTCCCCCAAAAGGATTCCAATTGGGTAGGTGTCAAAATAAGAGCCCCCCAAAATGTTTAAACCAGCGTGACATGGATACCAACTCCAAAACACACAACCCTAAACAACCCCGATAAACGGGATCCAGTCATAGGTGTCCTTTTCGGAAAACAGATGGCGATAAATGATTAAACCACCAGGCAAAGGCCCTCGATTTTTCCACCAAACCAACCCAAAGGACACCTACTGTGGATGGCCGGAATTAAAACCACGGGAAACCGTTGTTGGTTGGTGTCAGGATAAAATCGCCATTCCAGAGTTCCTTAAGTGGTGGTTTTCGATTTCTGGGATTTCGCCCCTCCACACCCATGGCTCCGGTCCATCCACCCCATGGATCCGGGCCCCGGGCCCCGTCCGAGTGGCGACATCCACTCGATGGGTTCGGGCGCCACGGCCCGGGCGAGCTGCGCCTCGACGCGCTGCAGCAGCCAACCGAAGCGCATCTCCATGAGGTCCTCGGGGAGATTTTCGCGGTTGGGAATTCGCAGGGGGCGCGACTGAAATGAGACAGACATGGGCGGTGGTGGTCGAAACCGTTTTGGGATACCATTTTGGGGGTAGGTGAATTCACCAGCCATGTTAGGTTACCTATTTTAGTGGTTGGATTGGATCGGAATGCTCACTGGGGGTAACCGATTTGGATTTTGACCCATGGCCAAATGGGAGGGGTGGGCTGGAAATCCATGCGCCCCTTCCCGACACCTAGTGAAAAGAAGAAGAAAAACGGCGTGGGATGTCTCAAAAGGGAAGCAACTCAAAAGGGGAAGCTGTCCTTTTTTGGCTTCCCAAATGTAAAAGAAGACATGGCTCAACCCGTTTCAGAGGAATTCTAAGAAAGGGGTTCCGATCGCTTACACCAATGATAGCATCCGAAAGGAACTCATTTGTAAGAACCTCATGTAGGGTCACCCAAGCATGAACTGCATGAACTGCATTGAGTGATTTGTGGACAGAGGTTGCTCGAGAGTGCATGAGGTTGCAGGGTTGCCTACAGTACCCTGAATCTCTTTCGAGGAATCCTGTTATTTCCTTTTTGGTGGTTTGGCAAACTCTTTTTGGGGCAGCTTGTTCGGTTCCTGAAATTTGTTGAACGGAATGGGGTCCCGAACGTCTACCTTCACGAATCGGTCCCTTCCCATTTCGAGTGCCCTGCCTTCATGTTTTCGTGATGCCGCTGTGTTGCGTTCTCCTCATGGACATACAGTGGGCATTTCTCGCTGTAGATGGTGCTGGGCCCAAAAATATAGGAGCCCAGCTTGCTCAGCTGTCGTCGAACCTCCAGAGGATATCTAGAGACATCCGTGTCACTCTCCTGAAGCATTGGGATGAAGTACCACTCTGGCGCATCTTCCGGGCAGTTCGCCAGAATGTCCTGGCCGGCAATTGCCTCTCCTTTTTCTGTAAGAATGTTCTCCTTTTCTGTAAGAATGTTCTCCTTGTCTGTAAGAATGTTGAACTGGAGCAACAAACCTTCGGTGCTTCCTTCACAAGTGGCCTGGCATCGCCATCCCCGGAATACTTTTTGGCAGGTGTTCCCGCCAAAAGAGTCGGACCCCCTCTAACTGGGACGCCCCACCCATTCAAAAAAAGGTTTATTCATCCCAGGTTCCCACAACTCTTTAAAAGCACCATGCCATCATCCCATGCAAGGCCCGCTGGTCCCTCTCCATGCCCAATATGATACGGTCAACATGCTGAACAAGTGTGTCTGTGTGTGTGTGGTGTGTGTGTGTGTGTGGGTGTGAT